TGAGGACCAAGGGGAGGCCAAGGGGAGGACCATGGTGAGGGTAATGGTGAGAGTGATGGTGAGGACCAAGGGGAGGATCATGGTAAGGGCCATGGTGAGAGTGACGGTGAGGACCAAAGGGAGGATCAGCAGGAGGACCAAAGGGAGGCCAAGGGGAGGACCATGGTGAGGGCCGTAGTGAGGGTGAGGGTGATGGTGAGGACCAAGGGGAGGACCATGGTGAGGGCCATAGCGAGGGTGATGGTGAGGGCCAAGGGGAGGGCCAACGGGAGAGCCAAGGGGAGGACCACAGTGAGGGCCATAGTGAGGGTAATGGTGAGGGTGATGGTGAGGGCCAACGGGAGAACCAAGGGGAGGGCCAAGGGGAAGACCAAGGGGAAGGCCATGGTGAGGGTAAGGGTGAGGGTGATGGTGAGGACCATGGGGAGGACTATAGTGAGGGTAATGGTGAGGACCAAGGGGAGGACCATGGTGAGGGCCATAGCGAGGGTGATGGTGAGGGCCAAGGGGAGGGCCAACAGGAGAACCAAGGGGAGGGCCAAGGGGAGGGCCATAGTGAGGGTTATGGTGAGGGCCAAGGGAAGGGCCAACGGGAGGACCAAGGGGAGGGCCAAGGGGAGGACCATGGTAAGGGCCATAGTGAGGGTGATGGTGAGGGCCAAGGGGAGGGCCAACAGGAGGGCCAAGGGGAGGACCAAGGGGAGGGCCATAGTGAGGGTAAGGGTGAGGGCCAAGGGAAGGGCCAACGGGAGGACCATGGTAAGGGCCATAGTGAGGGTGATGGTGAGGGCCAAGGGGAGGGCCAACAGGAGAACCAAGGGGAGGGCCAAGGGGAAGACAAAGGGGAGGGCCATAGTGAGGGTAAGGGTGAGGGCCAAGGGAAGGGCCAAGGGGAGGACCATGGTAAGGGCCATAGTGAGGGTGATGGTGAGGGCCAAGGGGAGGGCCAACAGGAGAACCAAGGGGAGGGCCAAGGGGAGGACCAAGGGGAGGGCCATAGTGAGGGTAAGGGTGAGGGCCAAGGGAAGGGCCAACGGGAGGACCATGGTAAGGGCTATAGTGAGGGTGATGGTGAGGGCCAAGGGGAGGGCCAACAGGAGAACCAAGGGGAGGGCCAAGGGGAGGACCAAGGGGAGGGCCATAGTGAGGGTAAGGGTGAGGGCCAAGGGAAGGGCCAAGGGGAGGACCATGGTAAGGGCCATAGTGAGGGTGATGGTGAGGGTGATGGTGAGGACCAAGGGGAGGACCATGGTGAGGGCCATAGCGAGGGTGATGGTGAGGGCCAAGGGGAGGGCCAACAGGAGAACCAAGGGGAGGGCCAAGGGGAGGACCAAGGGGAGGGCTATAGTGAGGGTAAGGGTGAGGGCCAAGGGAAGGGCCAATGGGAGGACCAAGGGGAGGGCCAAGGGGAGGACCATGGTAAGGGCCATAGTGAGGGTGATGGTGAGGGCCAAGGGGAGGGCCAACAGGAGAACCAAGGGGAGGGCCAACGGGAGGACCATGGTAAGGGCCATAGTGAGGGTGATGGTGAGGGCCAAGGGGAGGGCCAACAGGAGAACCAAGGGGAGGGCCAAGGGGAGGACAAGGGGGAGGGCCATAGTGAGGGTAAGGGTGAGGGCCAAGGGAAGGGCCATAGTGAGTGATGGTGAGGACCAAGGGGAGGACCATGGTGAGGGCCATAGTGAGGGTGATGGTGAGGGCCAAGGGGAGGGCCAACAGGAGAACCAAGGGGAGGGCCAACGGGAGGACCATGGTAAGGGCCATAGTGAGGGTGATGGTGAGGGCCAAGGGGAGGGCCAACAGGAGAACCAAGGGGAGGGCCAAGGGGAGGACAAGGGGGAGGGCCATAGTGAGGGTAAGGGTGAGGGCCAAGGGAAGGGCCATAGTGAGTGATGGTGAGGACCAAGGGGAGGACCATGGTGAGGGCCATAGTGAGGGTGATGGTGAGGGCCAAGGGGAGGGCCAACAGGAGAACCAAGGGGAGGGCCAACGGGAGGACCATGGTAAGGGCCATAGTGAGGGTGATGGTGAGGGCCAAGGGGAGGGCCAACAGGAGAACCAAGGGGAGGGCCAAGGGGAGGACAAGGGGGAGGGCCATAGTGAGGGTAAGGGTGAGGGCCAAGGGAAGGGCCATAGTGAGTGATGGTGAGGACCAAGGGGAGGACCATAGTGAGGGTAAGGGTGAGGGTGATGGTGAGGGCCAAGGGGAGGGCCAACAGGAGAACCAAGGGGAGGGCCAACGGGAGGACCATGGTAAGGGCCATAGTGAGGGTGATGGTGAGGGCCAAGGGGAGGGCCAACAGGAGAACCAAGGGGAGGGCCAACGGGAGGACCATGGTAAGGGCCATAGTGAGGGTGATGGTGAGGGCCAAGGGGAGGGCCAACAGGAGAACCAAGGGGAGGGCCAACGGGAGGACCATGGTAAGGGCCATAGTGAGGGTGATGGTGAGGGCCAAGGGGAGGGCCAACAGGAGAACCAAGGGGAGGGCCAAGGGGAGGACAAGGGGGAGGGCCATAGTGAGGGTAAGGGTGAGGGCCAAGGGAAGGGCCATAGTGAGTGATGGTGAGGACCAAGGGGAGGACCATGGTGAGGGCCATAGTGAGGGTGATGGTGAGGGCCAAGGGGAGGGCCAACAGGAGAACCAAGGGGAGGGCCAACGGGAGGACCATGGTAAGGGCCATAGTGAGGGTGATGGTGAGGGCCAAGGGGAGGGCCAACAGGAGAACCAAGGGGAGGGCCAAGGGGAGGACAAGGGGGAGGGCCATAGTGAGGGTAAGGGTGAGGGCCAAGGGAAGGGCCATAGTGAGTGATGGTGAGGACCAAGGGGAGGACCATGGTGAGGGCCATAGTGAGGGTGATGGTGAGGGCCAAGGGGAGGGCCAACAGGAGAACCAAGGGGAGGGCCAACGGGAGGACCATGGTAAGGGCCATAGTGAGGGTGATGGTGAGGGCCAAGGGGAGGGCCAACAGGAGAACCAAGGGGAGGGCCAAGGGGAGGACAAGGGGGAGGGCCATAGTGAGGGTAAGGGTGAGGGCCAAGGGAAGGGCCATAGTGAGTGATGGTGAGGACCAAGGGGAGGACCATAGTGAGGGTAAGGGTGAGGGTGATGGTGAGGACCAAGGGGAGGACCAAGTGCAAGGCCAATGTGAGGACCACAGTCAGGGCCACAAAGCAGGCCCGGCTGGGCTAGGACAGGGGTGGGCTCCCGGCAGCTGTGTGGCCAGGCTGGGGTCAGGCATCCCCCACGACCTACTCTCCAACCTGCCTCCAGAGCCATTTCTTCCTGAGAAACCGTAATCAGAGCTCAAGCATAAGAAGCTGGTCAGAGCAGAAGTGTTCCAGCGCATGGCTCTCGCTGTGGGGTCCCCGTACGCCGCGGGTCCCGGAGCCCCTTCGAGACCGAGCAGTCAGAACCCGTCTGCATTTTATGCACACGTCACTCTCGCGGCGCTGAGCCGAGAACCGCTGTGTTTGGTGAAGCTGGTTGTTGGAGGTTCGCACCCTGTAGCAAACACCACTCCCCTTCCTGCACTGTGTGTGTTGTGGGTTTCAGAGAACAGTTTTCCATTAAAAACACGTCTCCTGTGTTGGCATAGCCTGAGCTTATTATTAAATGCACTAATATACATTTACAATCTCTGCTTTGATAGCAGTAGATTTCTCCTGTAGAGACGGAGGCTGACGCCTGCGAGTGTTGAGAGGCGACGTCGTTCTGCGGCCACAAATCCCCCAAGGAGCCCCAGAACTGCCCGAAAACGTAGCGCAACAGCATCACGCAAGAGGGCGCGAAGCTTCTGAGCAAAAGGCTTGAAGACTCGCGGTTCATCAGCCAGAGGTGGGCAGCATGTGGCAAGGTAGCCCCAGAGTCACACACCTACATCTGTGGTTTTTAAATTTTTCTTTAAGATTTTACTTATTGGAGAGAGAGCGCGCGCACAAGCAGGGAGAGTGGCAGACAAGGGAGAGGGAGAAGCAGACTCCCCACCGAACAAGGATCCTGATGCTGGACTTGAGTCCAGGCTCCGGGATCACAACCTGAGCCAAAGGCAGACACTTTACCAACTAAGCCGCCCAGGCAACCCCACGTATGTGTGTTTTCACATGCACCCACAGACACACATATTCCAGATGAAAACTCAGAGAGAGGAGCAGAAAGACCCAGATCTCACCCGAGAGAGAGGATCCCTCCCTGCAGCTCAGAGAGAGGAGCAGAAAGGCCCAGATCTCTCCCCAGAGACAGGATCCCGCCCTGCAGCTCAGAGAGAGGAGCAGAAAGACCCAGATCTCTCCCCAGAGACAGGATCCCTCCCTGCAGCTCAGAGAGAGGAGCAGAAAGGCCCAGATCTCACCCGAGAGAGAGGATCCCTCCCTGCAGCTCAGAGAGAGGAGCAGAAAGGCCCAGATCTCTCCCCAGAGACAGGATCCCTCCCAGCTGCTCAGAGAGAGGAGCAGAAAGGCCCAGATCTCTCCCCAGAGATAGGATCCCGCCCTGCAGCTCAGAGAGAGGAGCAGAAAGGCCCAGATCTCTCCCCAGAGACAGGATCCCTCCCAGCTGCTCAGAGAGAGGAGCAGAAAGGCCCAGATCTCTCCCCAGAGACAGGATCCCTCCCAGCTGCTCAGAGAGAGGAGCAGAAAGGCCCAGATCTCACCCGAGAGAGAGGATCCCTCCCTGCAGCTCAGAGAGAGGAGCAGAAAGGCCCAGATCTCTCCCCAGAGACAGGATCCCGCCCTGCAGCTCAGAGAGAGGAGCAGAAAGGCCCAGCTCTCACCCCAGAGATAGGATCCCGCCCTGCAGCTCAGAGAGAGGAGCAGAAAGGCCCAGATCTCTCCCCAGAGACAGGATCCCTCCCAGCTGCTCAGAGAGAGGAGCAGAAAGACCCAGATCTCACCCAGAGACAGGATCCCTCCCAGCTGCTCAGAGAGAGGAGCAGAAAGGCCCAGATCTCTCCCCAGAGACAGGATCCCGCCCTGCAGCTCAGAGAGAGGAGCAGAAAGACCCAGATCTCACCCCAGAGACAGGATCCCTCCCAGCTGCTCAGAGAGAGGAGCAGAAAGGCCCAGATCTCTCCCCAGAGACAGGATCCCTCCCAGCAGCTCAGAGAGAGGAGCAGAAAGGCCCAGATCTCTCCCCAGAGACAGGATCCCGCCCTGCAGCTCAGAGAGAGGAGCAGAAAGACCCAGATCTCACCCCAGAGACAGGATCCCTCCCAGCTGCTCAGAGAGAGGAGCAGAAAGGCCCAGATCTCTCCCCAGAGACAGGATCCCTCCCAGCAGCTCAGAGAGAGGAGCAGAAAGGCCCAGATCTCTCCCCAGAGACAGGATCCCGCCCTGCAGCTCAGAGAGAGGAGCAGAAAGACCCAGATCTCACCCCAGAGACAGGATCCCTCCCAGCTGCTCAGAGAGAGGAGCAGAAAGGCCCAGATCTCTCCCCAGAGACAGGATCCCTCCCAGCAGCTCAGAGAGAGGAGCAGAAAGGCCCAGATCTCTCCCCAGAGACAGGATCCCGCCCTGCAGCTCAGAGAGAGGAGCAGAAAGACCCAGATCTCACCCCAGAGACAGGATCCCTCCCAGCTGCTCAGAGAGAGGAGCAGAAAGGCCCAGATCTCTCCCCAGAGACAGGATCCCTCCCAGCAGCTCAGAGAGAGGAGCAGAAAGGCCCAGATCTCTCCCCAGAGACAGGATCCCGCCCTGCAGCTCAGAGAGAGGAGCAGAAAGACCCAGATCTCACCCCAGAGACAGGATCCCTCCCAGCTGCTCAGAGAGAGGAGCAGAAAGGCCCAGATCTCTCCCCAGAGACAGGATCCCGCCCTGCAGCTCAGAGAGAGGAGCAGAAAGACCCAGATCTCACCCCAGAGACAGGATCCCTCCCAGCTGCTCAGAGAGAGGAGCAGAAAGGCCCAGATCTCTCCCCAGAGACAGGATCCCTCCCAGCAGCTCAGAGAGAGGAGCAGAAAGGCCCAGCTCTCTCCCCAGAGATAGGATCCCTCCCAGCAGCTCAGAGAGAGGAGCAGAAAGACCCAGATCTCACCCAGAGACAGGATCCCTCCCAGCAGCTCAGAGAGAGGAGCAGAAAGACCCAGATCTCACCCAGAGACAGGATCCCTCCCAGCAGCTCAGAGAGAGGAGCAGTGTGAGAGGTCAATGAGGTTCTGGTGTCAGGCAGGAGCCTGGCTCAGGTAATGATAGACATTTGAGATGGACTGTAGTTTCCAGTTAGCCCTGTGACCAGTGTCATCTGAGGAAGCCCCAGAACCGATAAAGAGGAGGCCAGCAGGGGCCCGAGACCGATTAAATCCCTTACAAAGGGGAGGATTTTGGCAGCATACTGTCAGATCTTCAGACATGACCCCTCTCTGTCTGGCCACAGAACAAGGAGCTGCCACCAAAGGCTCTGCCCCTCGGACCCCCAGCGGAACCGGCCTCCCTCCGTGCTTGAGCATCAGCAGCAGGACATGCCGAGAGCTGACCGGGGCCGGGCCGAGGCCTTGCCTCTACCGTGCGCCCACAGACTGACTTCACGTTTGGTTCGTGAACTTCCTGCCCCCTCGGTTACCTTGTTGGTTGTGTGGTTTGTTTTCTGTCTAGCTCTGTGTGCCGTGGAAGAAGCCAAATTTAATCACCTGGTGAAATGTCACTGAGCTTGGAATCCTGAGCCTGCTGTATAATTGGGACTAACTTTCCTTTATTACTGAATAAAGCTGGCCTTGTGACGACACAGCTCGTGTGAGCGCATTCACAGTGTGCTCATGACGCGCAGAGGGTCTAGGTCTCACCGGGAACCCTCAGTGGGTCAGGGGCAGTGTCCTCGATAAACAGGGCCGGATATCCACATGCAACATAGCGGAGCTGGAGGCTTCCGCACACCATGCCCAAAAATTAAGTCAAAAGAGATTAAAGAGGTAAGTGTAAGACCCAAAACTGTAAAATCCCTAGAAAAAAACACAGGGAAAATTCTCCTTGACGGTGGTGTTGGCCATGATTTTTTGGACATGACACCCAAGCACAAGTGATAAGTCTTGTCGGGAGGGGGGACCACACGGTGAAAAGACAGCTAGAATGGGGGAACATATTTGTAAACCACATGGCTGACAAGGGGTTAGTGTCCAAAAGGAACTCATGCAGCCCAAATGGGGAAGAAAAAGAAAGGGTCAAATTCACAGTAACAGAGAGTAAAACAGTGGCTGCCAGGGTCAGGGCGACGAAGAGACACTTCCCCAAATTCCCTGCATTGTGTACTTCACACAGATGCAGTTCACACCGCAAAAGAGATCATTTTTTTTAAAAAACGATACTGTGAACGATCTCATCACAACGAATTTGAAAACTTAGATGATGCAGACACGTTCTTAGAAAACACAATCACCATTTCAATTCATACCTGCAAAACTCAGTAAACTCCAACAACCAGTCGTGATTTTTATTTTTAATTTTTGGGGGCAGAGTGTGTGGGCAGGGTGGGGGAGGGGCAGAGCCAGAGAGAGAGACAGAGAGAGAGAATCTCAGGCAGACTCCTCGCTGAGCGCAGAGCCCCACGCGGGGCTCAATCCCACGACCCCGATCATGACCTGGGTCAAAACCAAGAATCGGACACGCAACCAACTGAGTGAGCCACCCAGGTGCCCCCATTTGTGATTAAACACACACACACACACACACACACAGAATAACCAAAAAAAATCCAGAACAAAGAAACATCTTAGCAAACGAAGACTTCCGGTCATGAGAACTTTTTCAGCCTGAGAAAGGGTACCTACCAAAAAATCTCAGCAGCAGGGGTCAAGCGGTAAAACAGCAACAGCCCCTCCTTGAGGATCAAGAGTGGGCTGAGGTGCCACCCCCCCACGGAACTCAACATGTCGTGGGAGGGCAGGGAAACGAAGGCGTGTGGGCCACCAGAGAGACACGAAACTGTCGCTCATCCTCAGATTACAGGACTGTCTATGCTCCCCTGCACCCGCTACAGAAGAGAATCAGTAAGAACCATGTACAGTTTTGCAAACCTATTCCTATACGTGCGTGAGAAGAACTTGGGCAAGTGCAGTTTCACAGAGGGGCCCTTTGCAGTAATAATACAACTGTTTTTAAGACCACATGGGTGAATTTAACAAAAGATAGGTAAGAACGTTAGGAAAATGATACAGCTGCGGTAAAAGACATTAAATTAGACTTCAATAAATGAAGGGATCCGTGATGTCCATGGGCTTGAAAAATCAAGAGCACTAGGATGGCCACTCCCCCCAGCTGGACAAATTGAATGCAGTTGTGTGTGTGAGTGAGCATGTGTGAGAACAGAGCACAAACAATGTGCTCACATTCACACGGAGGAGCAAAGCCCCAAGAGCCAGGATGCCTGATAAAGTTGCAGGACACAGAATCAATATGCAGAAATCTGTTGCATCTCTATACACTAACAGCAAAGGGAAGGAACAAAACAATCCCGTTTCAATTGACTCAAAAAGCACGAAATACCAGGGATAAATTTAACCAAGGAAATGAAAGACCTGCACACTGAAATCTGTAAGTCATGGACGAAAAGAGCTGAAAACGCAAGGAAAGGGAAATATATACCATGCTCACGGACCGGAAGAATTAATGTCGCTAAGACATGCATACTACCAAATGCGATCTACAGGTTCAGGCCGAGCCCTAAAAAATCCAATGGCATCTTTCAGAGAAAAAGAGCAAACAGTCCTAAATTGGTAGGGAACGACGAAAGGCCATGAATAACAGCCACAGCAATCTTGAGAAAGAAGAAAGCTGGAGGTGTCGGACTTCCCAATTCCCGGCTGAATTACGAAGCCAGCGTCCCCACAACAGTATAGAACTGACATTACCAGAAGACGCGCTGAGCGTGGAAGGGCCACCAGCAAGACAGAGCAACCGTTCCGATCTGCCTGCCGGGTCCTCTGTGCCCGGGGCCCGGGCGGGGTGCCGCGTTTCCACACCAGTTGGCTGTGTGGACATCTGCCTGCTGTGGAGGGTACCGAAGTGCCCCGGCCACCACTCGGACCCTCCCGGGGCATCGGGCCGCAGTGAATGACAGCTTACTTCCTGGAACTCTGTACTCGGTACAAACTGAGGTAGACAGAGCCACAGGGGGCTTTCTGGCACCAGCTCCGACTCTCAGAGATCAGCCTACACACACTCAGAGGCAGATGTCCCCTCGGATCCCGGCCGTGTGCTCCTAGGAGCCAGAGATTCTTGAAAGCACCAGGGTTTCTGTGAAAAGGGCCTCGGTCTGTCCAACAAAGGGAGCACTTCTGTTGAACGGCAGCTTCCATTAAAAAGCCCCGAGGTAGAACACGGACTGTGTGTTCATCTGGGTCTGAGCGGAATAATCTCAGGTCCCAGTGACCCGGAATCCTGACTGAAGACATTAGAAGACACGGGACCTCAAAGGCAGCACTTCGCTGGGAAGCTGTCCGAGCTAGCCGCCAACCACCGTGGCTGACCTCCCTCTTGTTTGCTCCCAGCTCCCAGCACAGGGCTCTAGGTCCCACCCACGCCACTGCCCACGTTCTGCAGGTGGGTCCACAGACCCTGAGGAGCCCGGAGTGTCTTCAGCAGCAGCGCAGGCTCCGAGCATGCACACCCGTTGTGCGAGGCTGGCTCCCAGGCCCTGGGTCACACACTGAGGGGCACTGAGCGGCCCTCGGCTGCGCAGGAGACCAAACCCTGACTGGGGCCTGGTGTTGGTCTGGAGACCAGCCAGTGGGCGCTGAGGGGGGTACACACTTGCAGGACTTACCACCGCCCCATGACGGCCCAGGTGCTGGCATTAACACGGTTTCCTGGTAACCTCTCCCCTCCGAGGATATAAAGGGGAGCCAGAGCTGAGGGGCCTGGGGCTGCAACCGCTCCCAAGCCCTGCCCTCCACCGTCTGCTCCAGACCCAGTGCTCCCCTGCCGTCCCAGCACTCTGCGGCTAGGTTTCACCCGGTGTGCTCTGTGTATCTGCTCTGCCCAAAGCCACATCCCACCACCTTCCGCCCAAAATGAGACCAGCGGTCCACACAGGCTGCTGGTGGGTCACGCTTTAATAGCCGCCCCGGAGCATCAAGGGGGACACCCTGTAAGCATGAGGTTCACATTGCAGGGGACAATGGAAGTCAGTGGTTTAAGGAGGGGGGAGTCAGCTGTCAGGACACAGCAACATCTCAAACCAGCAGCAAGGAAACCAAGCAGAAGCTCCTCCCCGCACCCTGAGCAGCCCCGGGGGTGGGGCGCATGCTGCCGAGACCACGGAGCACAGGTGGGGACCCCACCTGAAATGCTGGCGGGGCCCCCCACAGCCTGCACATGGTAAGGCAGTTCCCAGGGCCCACCTGTCCTTTCAGCCAAGCCCAGATGGGAGACAGGTGCAGGCAGCCCAGGGGCAAGGCTCTGGACTGTGCTTGTCCTGGGCGGATGGCTGAACACCCTCTAAACCCGGACGGCTGAGGTCTTGTCCATCCTCATCTGGCAGAAGCTGCAGCTCAGCTCAGCCCAGAAGCAGGTGCAGGGCCTGCTTGTCCTCACCCCCACGCTGCGGGAGGGCTCCTGCCCCTCCTGGCCACAGGGCGGCCGGGAGGGGACAGCCCGAGCTGGGCATCGGACCCTCTGTGGGAAACGTCCGGGCCATACCTGCACACCCACGATGCCCGCAGCCTGGGAGGCCCACGACACTGGGAGGCCTCTGGGGGGTGTGTGCATTAACCAGACAACTGTGGGAAGTGGGGGCCAGCCTGCAGAGCGCAGCAGATGGACAGGGCCCTCCGCGGCCCCTGGCAGCTCCAGAGCTACTTGGTGGCTGTGGGCCACCAGTCCGGCACGGAGGCAGTTAAGGCCACCTGGCCACTCTCAGCGGTCCTGATGTGGAGAGGGCCCTTGATTTGCTCTGACCGCAGCAAGGCCAGGCCCACGTCCCCCTGGCCTGCCCTGTACTTGCCGGCTGCCTGCCCGGACGCAGTGAGCACCGAGGTGCCAGGGCTGACGCCGCCGGCCGGGAGAGGGCCCGACAGCCGCACCGGGAAGAGGCGCTTGCGGATGACGCCCATGTGGTGGGTGCGGGCCGTCAGCTCCTGACCGATGTAGCAGCCCTTGGTGAAGCTGACACCATTCATGAAAGCCAGGTTGGACTCCAGGGGCAGGGCCACTCCTGGGGGCAGGTCATGGATCCCCTCGGGAACGCCTGTGGGTGGAGGAAGCAGCTCCCTGAGCGCTGAGAGGTCCGCGGGGCTGGGGGCGGCCCCTCCCCTGCACCACTCCCCGCAGGGCGCGCGCTCTGCGCCCTATCCTCTGGCACAGGCGGGGGATGGGGGCCGACGAGCCAGCGCCGGAGCCGACCCTTCACCCCGGCCCCCCACGCAGCGAGCCCCCGCCACCCCCGCCCCCCAGCACGGCCCGGGCCGCGCCCACACCTTGCTGGTAGCGGTGGCGGTGATAGTCGCGGAGGTCTCCCAGCCGGCCGCCGGGCACCAGGGCCAGGCCCTCGTCCTGGGTGAGAAGCCGCCAGCCCATGCGGGCGGTCCGGGGGTCGCGGGTGAGGACGGCGGCCCCCTCGGCCTGCTCCCGCAGCGGCGCAGCCCCGCCGGCCTCCGCCGGGGTGCGGGGCAGCACAGCCCACACGCGCAGCTCGGGGCGCGGCTCCACCGTGACCTTCCGCCGGATCTTGTACAGCGCCAGGTGTCTCTGCAGCGCGCCCAGCACCGCGCGGTCGCACTCCAGGAGGAAGGCGGGTGCCTCGTCGTGCTCGGGGAGTCTGCGGGCAGAGACGGGGCTCCTGAACGTGGGGACGGCTGCGCGCCGCACTCCCCGCAGCCGGCGCGCTGGAGCCCCCGAGTCCGCTGCGGGCCGCGCCGCACCAGGGCGCTGGCCGAGCTGCTGCACGGCAAGGGGCAAACCACTGGGTGGATGAGACGCGATGGGTCGGCAGGTAGACGGCGGGCCGGGACCACAGCGCTGTGCGTCCTCACGGAGAAAGGCGGAAAGCTACGGCAGCAGCCTGATGGCCCGGAGGCCCTGTCTCCCCCAGCTCCACAGAAACCACACGTCCTCGGGGGTGGCACTCGGCTTTCAACAGGGGCAGAGGCTGGGGGAGCTGGCAGGGCAGCAGACCCATCGCGGAGTAGGGGATGCCCATGCCCATGCCCACCGCCCACTTCCCTAGGGGAGCCCGGGAACCCAGTCAGGGCCCATGAACATCCTAACCCACACTCTGGGCAGCCACTCCCCCTGAAGTGACCGTGGAACCTGGTCACCAGTGCGGGAACCAGGTGGGACAGCGGCAGTGCTTATGGACAGATGAGCCCAGAGAAGAGCCCAGTGCAGGTGACCTTGGTGGAGACGTTCAGGACCCACACAACTACCTAGCTGGGGTCCTGGTTGTAGATGACGACTGAACAAGGACCGACAGCCCCAGAGGAAACTGAGACAGGACGTGAGTAAGACAGTCCAGGAGTGTGTCAGAGAAAGGCCATCAATTGGTGCACCAGACCCTCCCCCAGAGCCCACCAGCTGGTGCTCCCGACCCCTCCCCCAGACACCACCAGCTGGTGCTCCTGACCCCTCCCCCAGACCCCCTCAGCTGGTGTCCCTGACCCCTCCCCCAGACTACCAGCTGGTGCTCCCGACCCCTCCCCCAGACCCCCTCAGCTGGTGCCCCCAACCCCTCCCCCAGACCCCCCCAAGCTGGAGCCCCCGACCCCTCCCAGCTGGTGTCCCAGACCCCTCCCCCAGACCCCCTCAGCTGGTGCCCCCGACCCCTCCCCCAGACCCCCTCAGCTGGTGCCCCGACCCCTCCCCCAGACCCCCTCAGCTGGTGCCCCGACCCCTCCCCCAGACCCCCTCAGCTGGTGTCCCCGACCCCTCCCCCAGACCCCCTCAGCTGGTGCCCCCGACCCCTCCCCCAGACCCCCTCAGCTGGTGCCCCGACCCCTCCCCCAGACCCCCTCAGCTGGTGTCCCCGACCCCTCCCCCAGACCCCCTCAGCTGGTGCCCCGACCCCTCCCCCAGACCCCCTCAGCTGGTGCCCCCAACCCCTCCCCCAGACCCCCCCAAGCTGGAGCCCCCGACCCCTCCCAGCTGGTGTCCCAGACCCCTCCCCCAGACCCCCTCAGCTGGTGCCCCCGACCCCTCCCCCAGACCCCCTCAGCTGGTGCCCCGACCCCTCCCCCAGACCCCCTCAGCTGGTGCCCCGACCCCTCCCCCAGACCCCCTCAGCTGGTGTCCCCGACCCCTCCCCCAGACCCCCTCAGCTGGTGCCCCCGACCCCTCCCCCAGACCCCCTCAGCTGGTGCCCCGACCCCTCCCCCAGAGACCACCAGCTGGTGCTCCCGACCCCTCCCCCAGACACCACCAGCTGGTGCTCCCGACCCCTCCCCCAGACCCCCTCAGCTGGTGCCCCGACCCCTCCCCCAGAGACCACCAGCTGGTGCTCCCGACCCCTCCCCCAGACACCACCAGCTGGTGCTCCCGACCCCTCCCCCAGACCCCCTCAGCTGGTGCCCCCGACCCCTCCCCCAGAGCCCACCAGCTGGTGTCCCCCGGCCCCTCCCCCAGAGCCCACCAGCTGGTTCCCCCAGACAGGACAGGCTTAAGTGCTGCCCGGGAGGAACCAGTCACCCTCACAGGAAAGAGCTGCAGGTGTCTGCTTGGTGCCCCACCTCTGGAAGCTCAGCCTATAACGCACACCCTGTTGTGTCCACACTTGTCCCCGTAAACAGGAGCCATCGCTCCACCCTGATGAGGTGGACAGAGCCAAAGGGCGTCAGAGTGTGTGAGCCCAGTCCCACCCCACTCCCTCTGTTCGACCCTCCTGAGATGACCACCCCTCAGAGAGGTGCGAAGGAGAGGCCGGGTGAGGAGCTGGGGCTGAGAAGGGCGGTGTGCTGCACCCGGGGAGAAGGGGACCCCGCGGTGACGGAACAGCTGTCCTCATCGAGGTGACATGGCCCACATGGGAGTCGCAGACATCTGCACACAGGTACACACACACGCAAGCACCTGGAGCCTGGGAGGAACCTGCATGCGCGCTGTGGTGGCCCACGCCCCACCGGACTGTCACCCCAGACTACAGAAGGCTAGACACTGCATGTGGCACTGGGGGAGGGGTACTGGGGGCCTCCGTGTTCCGTTTTCTGCTTCCTGTGATTCTACAATCATTTCAAAAGAAAAAGTTAAAAAAAAAAAAAGGAAGAAGCTGCCTGGGAAGGCGGGGCTCGGGGTGTCTGTGGGGGTCAGAGGAAAGCGGTAAAAGGTCATCCTCCACCATAAGCCTTTCCCCATCGTCAGGAGTCCCAGCCACATGCAGGTACATGAAAGCAGCCGACAGAGACGCGAAACGCTGGCATGGGGACCGATCAAGCATGGGGGGGCACGATGTGAGGTCAAGGGGGAGCACGCACCTCTGCAGGTCCCGGCCGGGGAGGGAGCTGACCCAGTCAGGGCGATGAGGCAGGCCACAGCAGGCAGGGCCACGTTCTGTGTGTCACGCAGCCTCTGGGACCAACAAAGCTGCAAAGCACCCCTGCTCCCCTGTGCCCCCAAGTCAGACCGTCTGCTGGCCCTGCCGCAGCTGAGGAACAGGGGCCAGGTCGGCAGGAGAAGGGGCGACCTAAGGCGAGCCTGTGCGCAGGGGCTGACGTGGGGGCTGGGCCGCTCTGGGGGGCCATCCTGGGCACAGCAGGGCACTGAGAGCACCCCAAGTCCCAGCCCATTCGATGCCAGGAGCACCTACACCTCCAGCCCTGAGTCACAACCGCAAGTGTCCCCAGATGTTGGCCAGTGCCGCCAGATCAGCTTTATCAGACAAACAGGGAATCCTGTCTTTAGCCAGAGTAGCTCACTAGCGCTGCAGAGGCCATCCCTACCCTAAACGTCCCTCGCGGTCTGTCTGAGACTGCACAGGGTGCCCTGCATTCGTATTTGCTAAGCTCAGCAAGCCTCCTGGGGGTATAAGTGCAGCCATGCAAGAGGGGGGTGGGGGGGCCTGGCCGGCAGGGGACACGGTGGCAGCGTGACCCCAGCCGTCACCTTCACCCGTGCCCAGGGGGGCGGAGGCACCCTCTGGAGGAGGCCATGGCAGGAGTGCTGCTGCCGAGGGAGGCCACATAGGGGCAGGGAGGTCCTGCACGAAGTGTCCCCGGCCCACTCTCTGCTGGTACACAGGGGCCGGCGGGCACCGGCCAGGAAACAAGGCAGCAGAGAACCATCCCCACGCTCAACGGCAGCCCAGACACCAGCAGACCGACGTGAGGGCATCCCAGCGAAACCAGCACAGCCAGGAGCAGAACCCAGAGCATCTTGTACGCGGCCAGCACCTGAGCAAGGCCTCAGGTGTCAAGGAGTAAGAAAAGGCAGCCTTCGCCTAAGGAGGGAAGCAGACAGATGTCACATCCCACCAAGGCCCACTGTTCAAAACACACAGGAACGCTTGAGCCTCAACAGGAAGGAAACAACCCGCTTAAAAATGGGCCAGAGACATCTGTAGATGTAGAGATGTAACAGACATCTCCCCCAAGAGAATACGCACATGGCAAAGAAGCCACGCCCAGCTGGTGGGACCACAGGACAGGACAGCCGCGCTGGACACAGCCCGGCGGCTTCTTACAGAACAAAACCCTCTCTCACACTACACAGGAGCCGAAGCTACGTCTGCACCAAAGCCTGTTTACCCACAGGTCGGAAGCCCCCAAGCTGTCCTTCAGAAGGAGAGAGCCTACATAGACTGTGGTCGCCCAGACGACGAACAGGGGTCAGCGCTGGACAGAAGCGAGCTCCCACCACGAGAAGACGCGGCGGAAGCCGTATTACTGGGCGAAGGGAGCCCATCCGAGCAGGCTACTCGCCGTGTGACTCCAAGTGGACGGCGGCGTTCTGGAGAAGGCGGGGCTGTGGAGACGAGACAGAGCCCCTCGGTGGGCGCTGGGGGACTCGGGGGGCCCAGCGGAGCTCCGGGGCCGTGAAACCATCACTCTGTGTGACCCTGTGGGCACGGACACGCGTCCTTCCACACCCGTCCGAGCCCACAGCACGCACACCATGGAGAGTGAACCCCCTCGGAAAGGAGGGGCTCCGCTGATACAGCGTCCGTGCGGGTCCATCAGCTGGGGGGGATGCTGCCCTGAGGGCGGCTACGTGCCTATAGGAGCTCCCGTTCCTTCCCCTCGATTCTGCGGAGCCAGAAACCGCTCTCCACTTTAAAAGCAAAACACGGGAGCCACCCAACACAAGGTGCTGCCTCTGGAAACTCAGAACAGGGCGCCCTGGGGAAGGAACAAGGCCACTGACACGAGACATTCCAGAGAGCACCTGGCATGGGGGCGCTGGGCTCCCAGGGAAGTGGCCCTCTCCCCAGCGCAGACCCGTGAGACAGACGCAGGTAGGAGGAGGGCTGGCTGGGACAAATGCACCTGGCTCCTCACCTCCCCCCTTGGAAGAGGCCGCCAGCTCTGGAGCGACCGGTCTGCCGCACTGCTGACCCCACACCACGGCTTTCCCAAGCAGGGCTGAGCCGCAGTGGCCACTTGGAAGATGCCCACCTCGGAGACCAGGTGCTAGTCGCTGGCCTGGCCCCGGCTGCCCATTCTGATGGCCTCACACAGATGCCTCTCCCACCCTCAGGTGTGCTCCCCCCGATGCCCCTCCCACCTCAGGTGTCCTTCCACCCGGTGCCCCTCCCACCCTCAGGTGTGCTCCCCCGATGCCCCTCCCACCCTCAGGTATCCTCCCCCCGATGCCCCTCCCACCTCAGGTGTCCTTCCCCTTGGTGCCCCTCCCACCCTCAGGTGTCCCTCCCCCCGGGTGCCCCGCCCACCCTCATGTGTGCTCCCCCCGATGCCCCTCCCACCCTCAGGTGTGCTCCCCCCAGGTGCCCCTCCCACCTCAGGTACCCTCCCCCGATGCCCCTCCCACCCTCAGGTGTGCTCCCCCCAGGTGCCCCTCTCACCTCAGGTGTCCTTCCCCCCGGTGCCCCTCCCACCTCAGGTGTCCTTCCACCCCGGGTGCCCCTCCCACCCTCAGGTACCCTCCCCCCGATGCCCCTCCCACCCTCAGGTGTGCTCCCCCCCAGGTGCCCCTCCCACCTCAGGTACCCTCCCCCGATGCCCCTCCCACCCTCAGGTGTGCTCCCCCCAGGTGCCCCTCCCACCTCAGGTGTCCTTCCCCCCGGTGCTCCTCCCACCTCAAGTGTCCTTCCACCCCGGGTGCCCTTCCCACCCTCAGGTATCCTCCCCTCGATGCCCCTCCCACCCTCAGGTGTGCTCCCCCAGGTGCCCCTCCCACCTCAGGTACCCTCCCCCGATGCCCCTCCCACCCTCAGGTGTGCTCCCCCAGGTGGCCCTCCCACCTCAGGTGTCCTTCCCCCAGATGCCCCTCCCACCTCAGGTGTCCTTCCACCCCGGGTGCCCCCCCACCCTCAGGTACCCTCCCCCCGATGCCCCTCCCACCCTCAGGTGTGCTTCCCCCCCCCGTGTCCCTCCCCCCGGGTGTCCCTCCCACCCTCAGGTATCCTCCCCTCGATGCCCCTCCCACCCTCAGGTGTGCTCCCCCCAGGTGCCCCTCCCACCTCAGGTGTCCTTCCCCCCGGTGCCCCTCCCACCTCAGGTGTCCTTCCACCCCGGGTGCCCCTCCCACCCTCAGGTACCCTCCCCCCGATGCCCCTCCCACCCTCAGGTGTGCTCCCCCCCAGGTGCCCCTCCCACCCTCAGGTATCCGCCCCTGGACGCCCACGCCCCCTGTCCTTCCCCAAGTGCCCCGCCCTGGACGTCCTTCCCCGGCCTCCGGGAGTCCACACCTAGGTGCCCGGCTCTGGGCGGCTCCTAGACCTGCAGGCACCACGAGCGGTCGGCCCCTCCGTGGGTCGCCCCGCCCCCGCGCCTCTGCCCGCGCTCACCGGTAGAGAAGGACGTCATAGAGCGTGCGGCCCTGGACGTTGAGGAAGTGGGCGTAGCCCGCCCTCGCTGGGGGTGGGGCCGTGCCGTCCGCAGGACCCGGAAGCGGTAGCTCATTGGTCAGCAGCCCCAAAAGGAAGGGCGCGGAGTCTGGCCCGCGCACGCGCACCAAGGCGCGCTCGCCCAGCGAGAAGCAGGTCCAGGCCGCGCCGCCCGCGGGGTCGTCGCCGGGACGGCCCGAGCCGTGGGCCAGGCGACGCCTCGGGGCCGCGCGCAGCCGCCAGCGCCAGGCCGGGCCGCCGCGCCCCGGAGCCGCGCCCCGGAGCAGCGCCGTGGCCGCCATCTTGGGGAGGATGAGGCTGCCTGAAGGGGCGGCCCGGGCGGCGGCGCGGGCGGGCGGGTGGACGCCACAGCGGCCTCTGGCGGCGGGCGGGGGTACGCGAGGGGCGGGGCTGCGCGGGGCGGGACTTGGGGAGGGGAGGGGCGGGGCGGGGACGGAGCTCGCAGGGCCGCGGGACTTGTGTCTGGGGGCGGGGAGGGAGCGTGCGGGGCGGGACTTGTGTCTGGGGGCGGGGACAGAGCAAGCGGGGTGGGGACGGAGCGTGCGGGGCGGGACCTGTGTCTGGGGGCGGGGACGGAGCGAGCGGGGCGGGACTTGCGCCGGGAGGGGCGGGGCCTCGGGCTGTCCGTCAGCCTCCCGCCCCGCCCCCTGGCTGCGCCTGGTCTGGGCACCTGCGCAGGACACCAGCGCTGCGCCTGGTGTTGGAGCAAGTTCCTGCTCGCTTTATTGCGGTGAACTACACCGACGGTGAGGGTCGCCATCTCCGCCCTTTCATCAAGGCACAGTCAGCCCCATGCAGCGCATTCACATCGTGGGCAGCCGTCCCCCCGGCCGGATCACATTGTCTTCTTTCTGCCGGCCGCCAGCCCCTGGGACCCCCATCCCCCTCTGTCTGGGAACCTGACTCTCACGAGTGGAATCATGCAGTGTGTGTGCTTCTGTGGCTGGCGTCGTGAGTATATCAGGTCTTCCTCCTAAAGGATGGGTAGGATTCTGTTGCATGGACAACACAGTTTGTGTATCCATTCCGTCGGTGGTGGACATTTGTGTCCTTTCCACTTGGCCGTGGTGGATTTTGCTGCCATATGGGTGCACATCTCCTGGAGACCCTGGTTGCAGTCCTTTGGGGTATTGTGTGCAGGAACCACGCTCCTCTGGGTCCTCTGCTCTCGCTCTGCGCCTCTTTTCTGACACTTAGGATCGCTACATATGTTTGGGGGAAGGGCTCCGCACACTAGCTGGGGGGCCTCAGCTCTGACCCTGTCCACATGGAGTCAGCATCAGACCCACATGGACTCAGCATCAGATCCACGTGGAGTCAGCATCAGACCCACATGGACTCAGCATCAGACCCACGTGGAGTCAGCATCAGGTTCGGGGTTCAGGCCCACAGACCACCTCACTGCAGATGCCAGTCACAAGTCCAGGGGTCCCCGTGCTCTGACCTGCTGGCTACAGATCCGAGGTTCCCACGGCCCCCTCCTCGGGTTCCATTAACTTGCTGGAGCGGCTCACAGAGCTCAGAGAAACATTCTCCTTCCTACATTACCAGTTTATCATAAAAAGATATAACCCAGAAGTAGCCAGATGGAAGAGACACACGGGGCAAGGCACTGGGGGAGGGGCTTGGAGTTTCTCCCCACATGTCTACGTGGTCACCAGCCCAGAAGCTCTCCAAGCCTGACCTTGTGGGGTTTTATGGGGGCTTCGATACGTGGGCATGATTGATGGAGTCATCAGCAATTGGTGATTGGTGATTGATTCCTTCTCCCTTCCCCGAGGTCAGGGGGTGGGACTGAAAGTTCCAACCCTCTGGTCCCAGGGTTGAGTCCCCTGGTCACCAGCCCCCACCCTGAGGGGCTTTCCAGAGTCACCTCGTTACATAACAAAAGACACCATCATTGCCATGCTCACTGGGAAACTCCAAGGGTTTCCCCCATCAGGTGCCTTCCCCAATCTCTGCTCCCCTTTGAGGGAGATTCTGAGAGACTGTCCTGTGTCCTCATCCCACATGCGCTCCTTGGAGTCACAGCCACGGTGGGAGATGGAGGCTGGCTGCAAGTACCCACAGGCCATCCTGAGTCTGTAGGCAGTGTGCTTCCTGCCCCCCAGACTCTGCCCGCTGCCTCTCCTGCCCTGGTCCACCTGTCCAAGCCCCAGGGGCAACACTGCGTGCCAACGAGGCCAGAGGCCAGGCTGATTCGTCTGGCTGGCTCCCTGCTGCATCCCCGGGGCACAGGCAACATGGGTGCCACACACAGGCCGTCGTCCAGGCCATCTCCATGGGAAGGGCCCATCAGCGCATGGTCGCAGCGCCTCGGGGCAGCCTCACCCAGTGCCCTGGCCCGCCCATCCCTCTGCTTATCCAGCTCCCTCTGGCCCTTCCCAACCTGCCTCAAGGCCATGCTGCCCCTAACCTGAGAGGTGCTGCGTGCTTCCGGGCTGGCGGGCGTGGTGAGGGGCACGGAGCGTCCCCCCGGGCCTCCCAGGCGCTCGGTCGCCCTCCTGGCCGTGACCTATGGGTCGTGGTATGCGGCTCCCCTGGCTGCTGGCCACTGGCGGCTTGCCCTTCGTGGAGAAGGTCTTCCTCTGCGCGACCTGGCATTCCACAGGTGACCCGGCACCTCCCTGCCAGCCCAGGGAGGACGGGGGAGGAAGCAGCCAGGACGACACGGGCTGGGGGTCACGTTCCTCCAGCCTCACGTCAGCCCGTCCCTCAGCCCGCAGAAGAGTCGGCTTCCCACCAGCACTGCTGCAGGCCAAGCGGGCACCACCCGGAACCTTCCCTGAGCTTCCCAGTGGGCAGCAAGCCCAGCCGCTCAGCACTGTCCAGCACAGCAACCACCTCCACCAGGGCTGCTTAAGTGCACATCGAGTCTAGACCAAGTCAGGGGAAACTTGCGCCTTCTCCCCCAAGCCACCGAGGTGCCCAGAGTCACACGTGGCCGGTGGCCGCCTCCGCCTGCCAGCCACGCTGCTCCAGGCTCCCCACTCCAGGAAGCCGTCTCGGACCCCCAGCCCACCAGCCCGCCAGCAGGGATCCCTGCGCGTGGGCTGCCTCTTCTCAGGGGTGCCCCCACCTCGCACCTGCCACTCCGCACTGGGGGGGCGGAGGCAGGGGCTGGGGCCTGACTGGCCGCGGGGGCTCCCAGGGAACCCCACTCATCGCCCCGGGTCCAGCAGCCGGATCCGTGGGCCATCGCCCCCCTCTGAGGCCGCGAGCCCCGGAGGGGTGGAGAGCTGGGAAAGCGGCAGGCGTGGGGGTCCTGGACCCCACTTCCCAGCTGCTGCTGGGCCAGGGGTGGTTTCCTGTTATTCTCTCCTCATGGTCTCCTCCCTTCCCAAAGGCGGGGGGAAGCAGCCCCCATTCTGGGAGCGTCCAAGCAGCCCCTCCTCACAGCCCTCTGCAGTCTCCCAAAGCAGCCGGCAAGTTGGCTCTGGCTGTGGAAACGGATGACAGCCAGACAAGAAGGCCATCCCGTCCGCTCCTGCCCTGCCCCCCCAGCCCAGCCCGCAGACCACCCCCCACCCCCCCGCAGTGAGGCAGGGTGGGAAGGCCTGGGCTCTGCCTCCAGCCTGCTGCAGGGCCCAGAAGATGGGGGGTCTGTAAGGGCCAGCTCTGCGCCCTGGGTTCAGGCCTCCGTCCTCAAGGCCATCCCAGGTGCATGGGGAAACCAAGCCACTCACGGGAGGGGCTTGTTGGAGTAGCTGACTGAGCATAAGGTGCCAGGCAGACTGCTGGGGTCGGTCTACACCTCTGGGAGTTCACAGCCTGGAGAGCCTCAGGGCCGCATCCTGTAGGGCACTGGATCCTGTGTGGGATCAGGACTCCGTCTGCAATGTCAAGGAACTGGTGTTAGAGGGAGGCTGCAGGCCTGGGGCAGCCCAGGACGTCCATGGGGAGGGTGTGACAACAGAACCTAAGTCATCACTGTGGAAAGTCACAAAACTGATGGGTCCCTGGGATGGGATGTCCTGCTAACAAGCTCTGGCTGATGGGATGTGTATTAGCTGGGGCTCTCCAGAGAAACAGAACCAATAGGATAGGTATATATAGAGAGATTTATCTTAAGGAATTGGCTCATGTGATTACAGGGCTGGCAAGTCTGAAATATGCAGGGCAGGCTGGGGACCCAGGAGAGCCGGGACGTTTCCAGCCTGATTCTGAATCTGAAGATGGGAGACCGATGTCCCAGCTCAAACACTCCAGCAAAGTAAGTTCCCTTTGACTCCCCTTTTTGGGTCTACTCAGGCCTTCACCTGAATGGGTCGGGCCCACCCATGCGGGGGAGGGCATCTACTCAGTCTGCAGATTTAGTGTGAATTTCATGCAGAATCACCTCAAAGACACCCCCAGAATGGTGCTTACTCTGGGCACCCAGCCAGTCAGGCTGACACAAATATTACCATCAGACTGATCAGGAACCTTGGGCTTTGCTCCTCGGACCATCACCTGATTGGATGAGGCCCACCCGCATTGGGGAGAGCAATCTGCTTTACCAAAGTGTGCTGTCAGTGTTAATCCCAGCTACAAACACACCTTCACCGTGACATCTAGGCCAGTGTTGGCACAAATCACGGGGCATGGACACTCAGCCTGACCCACAACTGACTTCTGTATTCAGGGACACACAGCCAACCTGTTTCCCCAGCGGCCCCCAGGCAGGTCCTCCTCCTGTTGGCCCAAACTGCCTCAAATTGCATCTAGACCAATTAAGAAGGGGGTGGGGGGAATGAGAGTCATCGGCCTTTGCCAGGTCCTCTTGAGCCACCGTGCTGTGAGGAGGCCCAGGCCGCACAGAGAGGCCGCTCCACAGAGACCCGGCCTCCCCCAGGACGACAGGGCCGGCAGCACACCTCCCAATCAGGGGCTGCCCGTCCCCGTGAGACTTCCTGTCTTGCAGAGGGGACACATGTCTCTGCTCTGAATCTGAATTGGCTGGGCCCTCCAGGACTTCCTGGGGTGGGGCTCCCCTGGGGGACTCAGCGTGCCCTGGGCATCAGAGGCAGGCTGACATTGGGGTCCTGGCCTGCGTTTGGCCTGGGGCCACCAAAACGGGTCTGCAGGCCACGGGGGTTTGCCACAGCCTGCTCTGGACCTGAGGGGGGCTGGGCGACAGCTGGGGTCACCTAAGTCAAGTCGGAGGAGGCTCCTTGCTGGCAGCAGCTGACCCCCCCCCCACCTGTGAGTCACCCTTGCCCCTCGCGCTGCAAGCTGTGGCGAGTGTCCCGATAATGCTGTCCGCTGTCCTCGGCCTCTCTGTCTTCTGACTGCAGGGCTGTGAGCGTGCGGGCCTGCCCGCATTCTTTGTTCTCACCGTCTGTGTGTTCGCCTGGGCCCCCCCGCCTTGCCCGCTGCCTGGCACAGAAAGGCACCCACGTGGCCTCAGCCTTGCTTCTCTCAGCCAGCGCAGAGCTGAGCCACGTGTCCCTGGAGGGCAGTGGTACACACACACACACACACACACACACACACGTGTGTGTGCGGACGCATGCATAATCACGTGTGAGCGCGCACATCACACGTACATATACACACGCATGCACACTCACACACCCGTGCATACTCTACACACGTGTGCATGCCCCACGTGCACCCGCACACGCAGTTGTAAACAAAAGTTAGTTTTATTTTGCTTCCTTTGTTTTGGAGCCTGTGTTTGAATTAGGGAGGGGGCCGGAGGGCAGAGAAGGGGTAGGTAGGAGCCCCAGAACCCCTTCCCCCAGAATGGCCAACACCCAAGCCCTGAGCAGGACCCGGCAAAAGGTGGGCCAACACCGTTGCGGGACTGCCAGTATGTCCCAGGGGAGGGGGCCCCACCACACCAGTGCAGAAGCTCCAGAGGGTGTGGTCTGTCCACCTCAGGGCCTCTGTCCAGCTGTCTAGGTGGGGAACTGAGAGCGCGGTCCAGGCCTGCCCCACACTCCCCAGAAGAGGATGCGGCAGCTCCCCCTCTGGGGCCCAGCAGGGGCCAGGCCCATCCAACCTCCGTTTCCCCTTGTGTACAAGAAAGACCTAGGATTGCTTCCAGCTCTGCAGGAAACAGGAAGTGGGGTTGGGGTGGGGGTGTGGGGAAGGAGCCCCATTTGCTGCTGCAGGGAGTAGGGAGCCAGCACCGTGCCCCCAATACCCCAGGCCAGGCACCTCTGGGTGACGTACATGAGCTGCTGCAGGGCAGCAGGGGAGGAGAGCCCCCGCCCTGAGGCAGCGCCGCGAGCCAGAGAGCCAAGAGAGGCTCAGAGGAAAGGGCCAAGCACCCCCACAGGTGAGGCTCGCGGTGGCCCTGGGGGTGGGAGGAACACGGCCCCAGCCACAGTCCCAACCGCATCTTGTGGGTTTAGGGATCCGAGCTGGGGACCCTTGCAGGTCCTACCCTGGACAGAGCGGGGCTCACGCAGGGAGGGCCAGGTGCTGAGCAGGCGATGCAGGCCGTGCCTCCCCGCCTCCCGCCCCTCCCGAGTGCGCGCGTAGCCGACGAAGAGGCGGAGGAAGAAGAGGGCAGGCTGTGCTCCGGCTCCTGCGCGTCCAGCCCCTGGCCTTCCCCGAGCCCCCCGCCCCAGCCCTGGCCTGGAGGGAGGACAGACAACATCAGGGGCAGGCCATCAGATCCACACGGTGGTCTTCCCCTCCCTGCTGCTCGCGCTGCCCTTCTCCGAGCCCGCCCTGGGCTTGGCGCCCGGCCTGGCCTGGCCCCCGCCCGTGCCCGTGCCCCCCGACGTGGCGCTGCCCGAGCCGGAGGCGGGGGCGCCGGCCCGCGGGGGCCCCCGCGCGGCCGCGGGGAGGCCGGGGCACGGCGGGCTGTCGCGGTCTCCCAGCGCGTGCCGGTCCCGCAGCGCCTGCAGCGCCAGGCTGGCCAGGTCGTGGTCGTGGGAGCGCGCGCGCTCGGCCGCGCGCACCACCAGGCTGTAGTCGGGCGGGCCCGCCAGGCCGGCGGGCGCGGCGGGCAGCGTGCGGGGCGGCGGGCGCGGCGCGGGGCCCGGGGCGGCGGGCGGAGGCCGGCGGGCGCGCACCGCGTCCTGCGCGCTGCCCAGGCCCAGGTGCGCCATCTCGCAGAGGTTGAGCAGTAGGCAGAGGCAGCTGACCACGTACATGACCAGCAGGAAGATGGTCTTCTCGGTGGGCCGCGACACGAAGCAGTCGACCACGTGCGGGCAGGGGGGGCGGCTGCAGCGGAAGAAGGGCCGCACCTCGAAGCCGTACAGCAGGTACTGGCCCACGAGGAAGGCCACCTCGAAGGCGGCCCGCGCCACCAGCTGCGCCACGTACACGCGCATCAGGCCCTCGCGCTGGATGCGCCGCCGCCCGTCGTGCTGCGCCGCGGGCCCCGGGGCCCCCGCCGCCGTGCCGTCCCCGCCCGCGCCCTTGGCCTCGCCCGCGCCCTCGGCCTCGGCCTCCTCGCCCAGGCCGTCGGCCACCGCCGACTCCTCGTCCTCCTCGTCGCCCGGGCCGAGCATGGGCTCCTCCTCGCCCAGGCCGGCGGGCTCGGGCCAGCCGGGGTGCGGCGGAGGCGGGGGCAGCGGCAGGGGCGCGCGGGCCGGGCGGCGGCCGGGGCCGGGGCGGCGGCGGGGCGCGCGGCGGCGCTCCTCCTCCGAGGCGCGGGCCAGGCGGTGCACGGCGTAGCCCAGGTACATGACGGAGGGCGTGGAAATGACGACGATCTGGAAGACCCAGAAGCGCACGTGGGACAGGGGCGCGAAGGCGTCGTAACAAACGTTGTCGCAGCCCGGCTGCCGCGTGTTGCACGTGAATTTGGTCTGCTCGTCTGAGTAGATGGACTCTCCGCCCACGGCCGTGAGCACGATGCGGAAGACCACCAGCACGGTGAGCCACACCTTGCCCACGAACGTGGAGTGGTTGTGGATCTCCTCCAGCAGCCGCGTCAGGAAGCTCCAGCTCATGTTGGTCATAGGGGCGGGGGGCGGGACCTGCGGGGGCCGGGAGCGGAGCTCAACCCCGGGCAGGGGTGGGGAGGAGGAGACACGACCCGCGGACCAGGAGGAGCACTCTTCGGGGAGGGAGGCACGGGAGCATTGGCGGGGGGGGGGCGGGGAGAGCAGATCTCGGGGCGCCTGGAGCCAGGGACCCTGCCTGCGGGGGGTTCACCACCTTCAGCGAAAGAGGCAGCCCTTCCAGGAGCGCCGTGCCCACCCTCGGTCCCGACCCCGCCTGCGGGATGGATACTGGCAGAGGCCGAGCCGCAGCCCTGGCTTGCCCCAAGACCCCTCCCCTGGTCCCCGTGGCCTGCACTAGCGCCAGCCCCCATACCCTCCCCGCCCCCGGAAAGCCCGGCCCCTTGCAAGCTGTGGCCCTCCCCCAGCTCTGGGGACCCCAGCCCAGGCCCTGAGAGCCGACAGGGAGAGCAAGGCCAGCCCCACTCAGGATCTGGGGGCTGTGGGGCCTCAGCCCAGACCCATGCCCCCCCCCCCCCACTCAGGCAGGGTCCAGGCCACTGGAGAGGGTCTCAAGGGTCCCAGCATCCCGGAGCCCTCCAGGCGCCCAGCCCCAGCCCCTGGAGCCCCTTCGGTCCGGTCTCCAGCAGCGCCACACCCCTCCCCACTTCCCTTTCCACCCCCTACACTAAGCCTTTGCTTCCTCCCTCTCCACAAAGGACCCCCAGACTCCTTCCTCAAGGGACCGTGCTGGCCCACAGGCCTTCTGGGCTGCTTCCCCCTCTCGTCCTGACACCACCACCCTGTCCTCGGCAGTCCTGTGGCCAGGACAGCCCCGCTGGGAAGCCAAGTGAGGCCAGACATCTGTCCAGGATGGGGACTGGTCCAGCAAGGCACACAGACATTAGGGCATCAGTGACACTCGGAGACAGCCACGGGGCCACTCACCGCCTCCCAGAGCAGTGCTGACCCCCAGGTGGGCCTGTGCCCAGGAGACCATGATGCTGCCATTCATTGTCTTGTGTCTCCAGGAAGGGGAGAGGGGCTGCAGCCCCCCCACCGCTGGTGCCCACCCTCCCTCCTTTGTGACCAAGGCCGGTACCTGCTTCAGGGTAGTTTGGGCACAGGAGACCCCGAGTGCCTGCCGCTTCTGGCCCCCTCCCTCTGGGCCTGGAGGCGGCAGAGGCAGGCGGGGGCTCTGGGGAAGCTCCTCTTTATGCAGCTGGGGCCTCTCCCCTTGGGTGGGGGCAGGAAGAGGGGGCAGCTGGGGTTCCTGGGGAAGTGACCCTTCTTCCTCACATCTGTGTGCAGTGCCCCCTCAGAGCGACACACGCACAAGCCCTCCTCAAGTGCACACCCACACGTGCACGCAGACACCCACGTGCATACAGCTGCTCACGCGAGCCCAGACAGACGCACGCTCGTGTGTGCTCACACTAATAACAAGTGCACAGATGTCCACACACTCCTATCTGCACACGTTTACCAACGCTGCGCTCGTGCACACACTCAGGTACGCTTACACACCGGTGGACATGCCCAGCCCTCCCCCGCTGGCGGGGCCACACGCCGGGGCCCCGCCTCACCTGCCAGGCTGGCTGTTCTCCCCAGGTTCTAACCCCACTGGTCCAGGATCTGTCCCCGCCCCTGACCTGACAGTCCCACCTCCACAGGAACCCAGCAGGAGGGCCCCCAGCTCTTCTCTTCCTCCCAGATGGAGAACCCCAGAGAAGCGAGGAGAGGAAGAGCCCCTTGGTGTGTGGTCTAGGTATGCGTGGGAGCCTTGCTGTAGTGTTTGCTAATTCCTGGGGTGACCATGTCCCCAGCACGCCCATGGCCAGCTTGAGGAGACCCCCAGAGGGGGCTCTTGAGACTAGCTCTAGCTGTGCGCTGGGGCTGACCCTGCCCTGAGGTGTGAGAAGCAGCGCTTTGCCTTGGGGGCCAGCCTGGACGGTCAGAGGCCAAGAGATGAGATGTGTCAGGGAGAGAGGGCGTCTCAGGCCCTCAGCTGGGGGTGGGGGCCAGTCTGGGCAGCAGGAGTTGGAGGGAGCACAGCTGGGGAGTCAGGCTGCCTATGGGTGGGGGGCAGACTCACTGGTGGCACCACCCTCTGGCTCTTCAGCTGAGGGCCACGCCCAGTGCTGCGTGCATGTGTGTGCAGGGCCCATGTCACGCACCCAGTGATGCCAGGGTTGTTCCGCACTCAGGAGGCTGCACGGACCAGCTCCGGCCTCAGTCCCATGCGGGAGGGTCCTCCAAACCCAAGGCCCAAGGTGCCTCCTGACGTGGCCAGGCGGATGCGGGCAGGAATGGCGAACCCCAGCCCTTATCCTGGACGGCTCTCTGTCCTGCGCCCCTGCGCACCATCAGCAAAGCTTGGAGGCAACTTTGCCAGGCTCTGTCTTGCTCCCTGAGAGCCTAGCTCACCGGTCACCTTAGGAGGCCCATTGACCCCGCGCCTGGGACTCCCAAGACTTTGCAGTAACAGCCAAGCACACCTGGTCCATCGCCACGTAAGGTCCACCCCCAGGCCGAGCCCACACAGCCGCGGGACCAAGGCCCCGCCTCCAGCATACCCGCCCCTCACATACCCATGCACACTTGCACACACCCACGCTCCACCCGCACCCCTGCCCACGTCCTTGCCCCACTCACATCTTGCACACATCCTACCCTGCACACACTCATGCGCCCACACACGTCCACACCGCGTCCACGTCCTAAGCTCCATGCCCTGGCTCACCCTGCACACGACCCGACACGGGTCCATGCCCGCCTACACCCACCCCTCCACGCCCCACCCTCCACGCCCCCACATGCCAGGCCTGCCCCGCACAGGCGCCCATACGTGTCCGTGCCCGCCCACCCTCTGCACGCCACGCCCCGTAACGCCCCGCCCACCCCCCCACCCCCCCCACCCCGCCTCAGAGGCTGGGACCGCAGCGCTGTCCCCCATCAGCTTTATTTGTCACTGCCTGGGGGTTCTCACTACCTGGGGGCCATAGACCGGGAAGGGGAAGGGGCTGGAATGTCCCACGTAGATGTGGGGTAGCGTCGGGCGTCGGAGATCGGGTCTGAACCCGCGTTCAGCTGAACAAGACAGGATGGCTCCCCAGGGAATGTCACGATCACGTGCGCGTACATGGGTTTGTAAACGCGCCTCGTCCCTTGCCCGGCAGCTAGAAGGGTGGCAGTGCGAAAACATCCATAGCAAGGAACACATGCACCGTGGGCCCACTCTCAGTAAAGGACCCTGAGCCTGGGGCGGAGCTGCTCGTGCCATGGGGGGGAGGGAATGCGTCGGAGCACGCGCTTGTGCCGGAAAGCAAGGAAGTGCAAACCGGCGCGCACACGCCGGCGCGCGCAGCAATGCACAGAAGTACGCACGTGCGCACACTCAGGGCGCCCACACACGCTCTCATGCACACGTGTGCAGACACGTGCGCCCACGCCCTCAGCCCCTGCACATGCACACACACGCCCTCCACATCCGCACACGCGCGCGCACACACAGGCAGGCACGTGCACACACACGCCCGCACATGCACACACTCGCCCGCATCCACATGCGTGCACACACAGGCAGGCACGTGCACACACACGCCCGCACATGCACACACACGCCCGCACCCACACGCACCCACAGAGGCAGGCACATGCACACACACGCCCGCACATGCACACACTCGCCCGCACCCACATGCGTGCACACACAGGCAGGCACGTGCACACACACACCTGCACATGCACACACACGCCTGCACCCACACGCACCCACAGAGGCAGGCACATGCACACACACGCCCGCACATGCACACACTCGCCCGCACCCACATGCGTGCACACACAGGCAGGCACATGCACACACAGACCCGTACATGCACACACAGGCTCGCACATGCCCACGCGTGCACAGGCAGGCACATGCACACACGCCCGCACATGCACACACACGCCTGCACCCACACGCACCCAAAGGCAGGCACTTGCACACACACGCACACACACAGGCAGGCACTTGCACACACACACCAGCACACGCACACACACAGGCAGGCACTTGCACACACACATACCCAGAGGCAGGCACGTGCACACACACGCCCGCACCCACATGCGTGCACACACACAGGCAGGCACATGCGCACACACGCGTGCACACACAGGCAGGCACGTGCACACACACCCACACGTGCACACACACGCTCGCACATGCCGACGCGTGCACACACAGGCAGGCATGTGCACACACATGCCCGCACACACGTGTGCACACACAGGCAGGCACGTGCACACACCTGCCCGCACACACGTGTGCACACACAGGCAGGCACGTGCACACACCCACACGTGCACACACACGCCCGCACCCACACGCACCCAGAGGCAGGCATATGCACACACACGCCCGCACATGCCCACGCACGTCCACACAGGCAGGCACTTGCACACACACGCACCCAGAGGCAGGCACGTGCACACACACGCCCGCACCCACACAGGCAGGCACGTGCACACACACGTGCCCACACATGCCCGCACATGCACACACACGCCTGCACCCACACGCACCCACACTGGCAGGCACGTGCGCACACACGCCCGCACACACGCGTGCACACACACGCCTGCACCCACACAGGCAGGCACGTGCACACACACGCACCCAGAGGCGGGCTCGTGCACACACACGCCCGCACATGCACACACACGCCTGCACCCACACGCACCCACACAGGCAGGCACGTGCACACACACGCACCCACACAGGCAGGCACGTGCACACACACGCCCGCACATGCACACACACGCCTGCACCCACACGGGCAGGCACGTGCACACACACCAGCACATGCACACACGCGTGCACACACGGGCAGGCACGTGCACACACACACTCACACGTGCACACACACGCACGCCCACAGTGAGGGATATGGCAGCGCACCGCAGAAGCGCCCTGTGTCTGAAGCCACGTCTATTTGGCTAATAGTGGAGTAATGCAGTATTACAGACTGGGTTAGTTATAGAGTCCGACCCAAAGCGTAAAACAAATGAGTCCATACTGATATACACGGTTACATGAACGAAAGTGGAAGCAAAGGGAACCCTAAAGAGTGTATGCAGCCCCCACCGCCTAGCTCCCGGTTCCTCAGGACGGCCCCTCCAGAGAGCCCGCGCAGCAAGGAGGGAGCATCCAGGCTGGCAGAAGTCCCAGCCTAGGGGCGCCCAGGGGGCTCGGCCGGTTGGGCGTCTGCCTGCGCCTTTGACCCCGGGGTCCTGGGATTGAGCCCTGTGTTGGGCTCCCTCTCCCTCTGCCTACTTGTGCTCTGTCAAATAAATGAATGAATTTCCAAGAAAACGGAAGTCCCCAGGCTGGTGAGAAAGCTGGCTTGCAGCACAGCCACCCCCCGCCCCCCGGCAATGGGGACACCGCAGGAAAGCGTTATGGGAGACTCCTCGCTCCACGGGTACCTGACATCAACACAGCCAGGGGGTCAGCACAGGTGAGCGGAGGACGGGGACAGGAGAGTGCACAGGGAGACCCTGGGGCACCTGGAGGAGTTGTGAGGATAAACGCTCCGATGTCGATGTTCGATGTTCGGGGTGGAAGGGCTCCAGGAGAGGACACAGGGGAGCAGGAGGACTATGTGCAAGTGTGGGCTTTTGTTACCGAGAAGGGGCCCGGATGATGTGAAGAGCGCTGCTGGGGAGCGGGGGTGGCTTCCCTGCCCCGGCACGGGGGTCCTCCTGTCTGGCAGGTACTTCTCCGGAGGTTGCAACGTGGAGCAGGGACTTTGGCTGATGACTCCTGCTGAGCCACAGGCCCCAGGGAGGCCCCTGACCCCCAGGAGGGGTGAAGGGCTGACCCAAGGCTGTCCAGTGCTGCCAGTAGGAGGCCAGTGGGGCTCGGCCACTGGGTGGGGGTGGGGTGGGGGTAGGGGTGCTGGTTTGCAGGGACCTAAGCTCCGTTCAGATGGCAGCTCCCCCAAAGCTCGGTCAGAGCAAGTGTGGGTGGGATCGCTCTCAGCGGGATCCAGGATCCGGGAGGGGGAAGCAAGGGCCTTGGCGGGGGGGGGGGGGGGGGGGGGGCGGCCAGACTGCCGGGAGGAGGGTGGTGGGCTCTGGCAGGCAGCAGGATGGCCTGCATCCATGAGTGGCCTCTGCACTTGAGCTCCTCTCACGCCTGCAGGGGTCTGAACAAAGGTCCTGGGAGCGGAGGGGTGTGCAGGGGGTGAGGGCCAGGGCCTGCCCAGCCATTTCCTTCCCATCCCTGGCCTGGCTTCCTCCCAGGAGCCCCTCCAGGGCAGGCGGAGCTTCCTCCCACTGAGGTGGGGCTGCCAGGCAGGCCCCCCCAGAATGCTCAGCTCACCAAATCTGCAAGGGACCCTGCCCTGGGAACCTCAGGGCACCGCTAGGTTCTCTGGCAGAACCTAGCAGCTGAGGCAGCCTCTTGCCCTTCCTAAGCACGCCCAGCACTGGGTGGCCCCTCATCCACACATGAGCGCCTACAAGCACCCCAAGGTCAGCTTGGGCCTGAACTTTAAGAGCTCAGAGCCCAGGGCCTGACCCGGCCACGGGACTCCCCCAAGGTCTCCCTCTGTTGGCTCTACGGGTGTCCCCTGTCCTGCCCCGGGCCCCTGGACCGCCACCCTGGGGGCCTCAGTCGGGCTCCACCGGGACCACCTGGCCCAGAGCAGAGGCGGCCCAGTCCTCCAACCCCAGGCGTGGAGGGCACCCTGCCACTGCCATCTGCCCCACGTGGCTCCCGAGCACACTGGTCTCGCGCTTGGTGGACAGGGGCTGCCCCCAGGCTCCCCACTGCCTCCCCTCTCCAGTCCCCTCCTGCTCCACACTCAGCCTGTGGGTTCTGCCCCAGGGAGCCCCCACCCTCACAGGGTCCACGTACAGACCCCAGCACTCGCACGTGTGCACAATGCACCCCCCCACCCTCACTCACACACAAGCCCCCTCCCACCACACGGGTGCTCAGCAGGGGCAGGATGAGCCGGGGAGGTTGGCTGGGCCGGCAAACCGCTCCCCCCTGCAGTCCCTCTGCGTCCAGTGAGGGTGCTCGTCCCGCAGGGGCCAGGTCTGGGGAGGGCGTCGCAGCGGCTCCTGGGGCTGCCGTGACAGGAAGCCCGGGAGCCCTGGCATGGGGATGGCTGGGACCTGCGAGAGCACCCTACCACCACCCGCAGGGGCCTCCACCCCTCCCAAAGTGCCGCCACCCTGCCCAGACCCCACGCCCCACAGCAGTCTGGCACCATGCCCGGGGCCGTGGCCGCCCGCCCACTCACTCACCACATCTGTGGCACGCTGGGGGCCGCTCCTGGACAACAGGGGTCTGGTCTGCTCCCGGTGACCCCTGGGGCCCAGACCTGAGGACCTGCGGTCTAGCAGGCGCCCCCGAGGACTTACGGGAAGGAGCCCCAGGCCAGCTCAGGAGCGCTGTGCTGGGCACGCAGGTGTACCCACCCCGGTGTGTCGGCCACGTGTGCGGGGTAGGCCTCCCCAGCCTCCCACAGGGCCAGAACCGTCTGAGGCCCAGCCTCTGGACACACTGCAGCTGGCTGGCCGGACCGGCCCAGCTGAGGAGCCCCAGCTGCTGGGGAAGGTCCCCGGTGCACCCCCTTCCCTTCCCGCTCACCAGCTGGCCTGAGCAGCCCTGGGGCCCCACCTCCCCCACCATGCCATTTTGTCCCCTGAGAACGGAGGGTGGTCCAGCCAGGCACGGTACCTGGTGTCCCCCGAGTGCGTCTCCTGAGCCCGAGACCCCGGGCCCACAGACAGGGTGCGTGACGTCTGTCCCCACACGGCTGCCCACGCCTGGTCCCCTGGACAGCGCCCTACCTTTTCCAGGCCAGGAAATGGGAGTCCCTGAGCCCTTCCACCTGCCAGCCGGATGGACACTGTCCCTCGCAGGGTGTGTGCCTGGCCGAGTCCTGGGCCTGACCCAGGGCCACCTCTCACCACCAAGCACAATGCGGGGGGAGGGCCTTCAAGGGCTCCATTGTTCCCCCCAAGGCCTGGGGTCTGAATTCCCGATTGTCCCTGGGGCTGGACAGGGCCCAGAGAGGAAGGGGGCCTCCCCTCCACACCCCCCTCCCTCCGCACATCAGTCTGGCCCCGCCTCACCTGCCTTCTGGCCTGGGGGCGGGGGGATGCCCAGTAACCCTCTGCCGGCTGATGTGGCCGGCCTGCATCCAGGCCAGGCTCCCACCTACCCTTGTGCATGCATCTGGGCTTTGGGACAGCGCCCAGCCTGTCTACTTCTGCCTGGGTCCCACCACAGGAGCATGGCCCGGGCACGGACCAGAGCTGAGGGACAGCCCCTCTCCGACCCTCCAGTGTCCTTCCCTGGAACACGGGGACCGGACCGGGCTCAGGGGACCATGCACAAGACAGAGGACAGCACTCGGCACAATGCAGGGGTTTGGCCTCCCTCCCGGTCAGCAGTGGCTGTCCCTGAGCCAGCATGGCCCAGGGTAGGGACGAGCAGGAAGTGAGGGGGCTCCAGCAGGATGAGCTCCGGGTCCTTCTCCCCATACAAGGCTTCATGGCACCTCCACGAGCCAGTGGGAGAGGCAGCTGTTGTCCAGCAGGCTCATCCACGCCGCCCGGGGCCCCAGCTCAGCTGCAGGCCAAGGGTCTCCCTGGTGTGAAGACGGGGCAGAGGGAGCCCCAGCAAGTAGAACCCAGGGAGTCTGGCGGGCCGCCGGGAGCGGGGATCCACTGTGGAGGTGTGCACGGCCCCTGTCCCCAGTGCCCTGCCCAGAACAGAGGCCATGGGCTCACGGACACTGCTGCCCAGCAGTTCTTTATTACACCCCGGCACAGCTCCCACGACAGAGGAGTAAAGGGAGGCCAGGGTCCTCTGGCCGCGGCAGTCTGGGCACTAGCCGAGGCGAGCGCAGTCCCCACCGGGGAGCACGCAGCTGGTGGTCCTGCTCAGGAGCGGCTGGTCCGCTGAGCCTTCTTGATTTCCTGCCGTGGACAGAGAAGGAGGGTCTCAGCCAGTGTGGGCTGACGGCCACGCGGCCTACCCAGCCCCTGCTCCCATGTGCAACACAGGGCTGAGTCCCGCCCCCTGCGGAGCCCACCTCGGCCAGAGCCTCCTCCAGGGCCCGAAAGGCCACGTCCAGATTGTCGTTGACGATGACCAGGTCAAACAGGCCCTGCTCCTTGCCTGGGGTGGGGGGACAGGGTCAGTGCAGGCTCTGGGGGTCCTCCACGGGAGGGGATCCTGCTGCTGGGGGACCCGTGCTGGCTGAGGAGACGGGGGGACACCCGGCGGCCAGGGCCCACACTCACTGCTCTCCAGGTCAGCCCGAGCGGCCGCCAGCCGCTTGGCCAGGCTCTCCTCTGTCTCCGTGTTCCGCAGCCTCAGCCGCTGCTCCTGAAACACGCAGGAGGGTCAGCGTCCCTGGGGTCGCCCGCATCCTGCCCCAGGGCGCCCCCGACGTCCAGCGAGGGCGGCTGCACCCCTGCCCCAGGGCGCCCCCCACCTGACGTCCAGCGAGGACTGCTGCACCCCTGCCCCACCCCCCTCCACGTCCAGCGAGGGCGGCTGCACCCCTGCCCCGGCCCCCCAGCTTCGGCCCAGCGCCCCCACCAGCACGTCCAGCGAGGGCGGCTGCACAAAGATGTAGATGGGCCGCAGGTCCGTCTTCTTGATGTTCCGCACACCCTGCAGGTCCACGTCCAGCACGCAGATGCGGTTCATGGCCTGCACGGCCCGCACGGCGGCTTTGCTGGAGGACAGAGGAGCAGGAACCGCTCAGTGGGGCTGCCTGGGCCCAGCAGCCCCCCAAGGCCTCAAAGGGCCTCCGCAGGACCATCGCTGCCCATGCCCTGGGCTCCTGCCTCCCCCACTGGCCTGCGCTGGGCGTGGGCCCGGCCAGAACGTCCACAAGAACATACCCGGACCCCAGCTTCTCGTCCCCCTTTCTGCAGCATCTGCGTGCTGGGCCCTCTGATGGGCCGAGGGTGGCTGTGGTTAGTGGCACGAGGGCCCTGGCAGTCACTGCGCCTGCCCAACAGCCCCAGTGACCCCTCTGGGGCCCCCCCTCCCACCCAGCTGCACCCAGGGCCTGGGGTGCAGCAAGATAGACCTCGTGGGGTCTCTGCTTCACCCTCGCCAGGCGGCTCAGGGACAGGCTGCTCAGAGGCATGCCTGGGCCCGCCTGCCCACGACCCTGCTCGGGGCCTGCCAGCCAGGTAGGAAGAGCGGGCAGAGACCCTGTGGACGGGGGGGCACTCCCATGCCCGCCCAGGGGCTGCAGGAAGGCAGGCCGCAGTTCAGCCTGTGCACCTAGGGGACCCGGATTCCCCGAGTCCTCTCTGTGCACCGTCCCCAGGGACCTGCGGTTCCCACAGAGGCCTGGCCAGGGGCACACAGGTGGCCGGGAGGAGGCAGCCCGGAGGGCCCCAACGGCTGCCCCGTCTCGACCCGACGTGGTGGGCACCTTAGAGAACCCACACAAGACGCCCTGCCTGGGTCTAGCCAAAGGGGAAGGCCCTGGGAGGGAGGGGAGGTGCCCAGGGTGGCCCACCTAGTCCCATACAGGTTCCCCGAGAACTCGGCGTGCTCGATGAAGTCGCCCGCGGCGATGTCCCTCTGCATCACCTCCCTGGTCACGAAGTAGTAATCTGCAAGGACAGCTATCTGAGGCCTGCCCACGGCCCAAGCCCCAGGGCGCTCGGGGACCAAACGTGGCCAGAGTCCGCTTCCCCGTGGACCTGTCAGCCCCACCGAACAGAGAACCCACGTACAGCACTTTCTCACATCATCCCTGTCACGAGAGCCAGAAAACCACGGGCTTCCTGGGGGATGCTATGGGGGCTGATCCCGTGGACACTACAGAGGAAGCCTGGAGTCAACCACACACGCTCGCATGGGTCAGGAAAGATGCCCCGCGGCGACCTCACTCCGTCTCCACCCGAGCGCCAGCACGCTGCCCACCCTGCAGACGGGCACCCAGATGCCGAGGCCCAGCTCACCTTTGCCATTCTCTTCTCCAGGCCGCGGGTCCCTCGTGGTGTCTAGGAACAAGTGCCTGGGATCGACCTGGGACACCTGGACCCCCACACCCCACCCACGCCTCCCCCGCGGGCCAGGCTCTGCCCATGTGTGGGGCGCTGCAGGTCAGGGTCAGCGGCGTGGGGACCGTCCCCCATGTGTGTGGGTGTGGGGGGCTGCAGGTCAGGGTCAGCGCATGGGGACCCTTCCCCGTCTGTGTGGGTGTGGGGGGGCTGCAGGTCAGGGTCAGCGCATGGGGATCCTCCCCCGTCTGTGTGGGTCAGCAGGGGCCTGGCCCCACCCCTGCATGGCTGAAACCCCCCGCCACACCCCCACCGCAGCCTGGGCCTCACGGGACACGCTGAAGCCGAAGACGCTGCCATGCTCCTGCAAGAGTCTCTTCAGCAGGGTGCTCTTCCCGGCCCCTGATGGTCCACTCAGGACCACCGGCCTCGGTCCTGACATCCCTGTGGGCGAGGGAGACAGACGTCAGCGAGGCCATGCCGGGGCGCAGCCTCCAAGAGCCCTGGACTAGAACCCGCTCCGGCCGCACCGTGCGGCTCCCGGCTGTCCAGCCCTGGACTGCAGCTCCTGGCTGCACGCGGGGCCCCAGGCTGATCTCACAACAGCGCCGGGACGTGGGGCTGACCCCACAGGACCACAGCGCGCTCAGCCCTCTGCTCGCCGGGCCCCGGGAAGCCGGCAGGTGGCCGGCCCGCAGCACAGGGCTCGGACAGCTGCCCCCGGAGCAGAGGGCCCTCCAGAGGACCCCGGCCCCACCAGCTCGCACCCACCCGACCACCCCCAGCTCGCCCCCACGCCCCACCTCCTGGCAGGGTGCAGCTCTGTGATCAGCCCGAGGTTGCTCTGCAAGAGCTGGAGCTCACCCCTGCCTGCCCCCCGCCCCCTGAGCACTAAATCCCTCCCGAGGCAGCCGCCGGGGACAAGGAGCAAAGGCTGCTCCTCGCCCTGCCACCACCCAGCCACGGGGCGTCCCACGTGAGGAGAACCGGCACCGACGGTGGGGACAGAGGGAGGCCTGGGAGGGTGTGCGGCCAGCCGCAGCTGCTCCTTCCTGGGGCTGGCCCTGCAGGGCTCCATCTGGGGGCCCCCGGCGGGCCGGCAGACTCCCCGGGGCTGCCCTGGGTCCCGGCCTGGGGCCACCTGCTCCCTAATCCTCGATGTAGGCCAGCACGGTAATCTGGCTCAAGCACGGCTATTCTGAGGCCGCCACGCCATCCGTACACGCCCTGGAAGGACCGCAAGCAGGAGGCATCCCCTGCCAAAGACACACGAGAGGGGCCGGGCACCACACGCTGAGCGTCACCTCCCGCGACCCCTCTGCCAGGTGTCCGGTTCAAGGACGCATCCTCCTACCAGCAGCGGTGTCCCGGCTTTCCCGCGCTCGGGGCCCAACTTGGAGCGCCCGCCTCCAGGACAGAAGGACCTAGAGGGATTCCCCACCAAGGACTGCACGAAGAGGCACCTGTGTCCCAGAGGCCGTGGGCACCCTGGAGCCCCCAACTGTAAACTCCCCAGCGGTTCCTGCCTGCGCCCCGTACCTGTGGGCAGGGCCAGACCTCCATCAGCTCCGACATGTGGAGACGGCAAACCTACCGGGAAATACACGTCTCCGGTGAGGGCCGCACACCGCTAACGGAAGTCCCAGTGCCCGACACCCTCCGGCGCGGGGCGGGCCACGCAGGTCTGACCGCCGCCTCCCGCCCAAACGTCCAGAGCCCCGCCCTCCCAAGCCCACCAGCCACCGGGAGCGCCGCAGTGAGCAGCAGGTGCGTGCTCAGGATCCCCGCCCTGCCCGCCTTCTCCCATGGGCAGCAGACCACCCCCGTGCTCAAGGCCTACAACACTGATAAGGTGGGGTAGGGGCCACCCGCCTGGCATCATCTTGCGGGGGTGGGAGACGCCTGGCCATCTTGGGCCCTGCCAAGGGCGCTGAGTCCTCCCTCGAGTGGTGCCCGCAGAGCCCAAGGCTGGCTCAGCCAGACACAAACGGAGGCTCACACAGACCACACCAGGGCAGCCTAGTCTTGCGTCCAGTGGCCACGGCGGCAGAGTCCTGACCAAACCCACCTTCGACAGGAGCACACCCAACACGGGCTGGAGCTCCAGGCCTCCAAGCCCCGGCAATGCGCAAGCGGGCCCTCTCCTAAAACACGACAGGTGGGCCCGGGCCGAAAAGGCTGGTCATGCCCGCCCCCAAAAGAGGCGTGTGGGGGACATGTCCTAGCTACGCGACCCGCCGGGAGCCTGGCTGGAAGTGGGACACCCACAGAACAGCCGACATCTTCTCACTTCCCCTCCCCAGTGGTGCAGGGCCCGTCTTCCTTGAGAGGAAGCCGGGCCCTCTGAGACCGTGGACGACTCCAGCAGGGTGGGCGGGCCAGGGGCATAAGAGCTCCAGAGCAGGAAGAAGCTCAGGCCCTCCGAGGGGGGCCAGCCTTGCTCTCACACAGGGGAAACCGAGGCCCAGCACAGGCAGGGCCAGGGAGGGACCTGGGGCCAGAGTCCAGAGGCGTCCGCCCCCACACCAGCGCTCCCAGCAGCTCACCCTCTCGACTGCACCTTTCCTCCTGGACACGGGGGTCATACGCTTCCAGCCCCAGTCGCACCACAACGCCCCCTCCCTTCCCGCTCCTCTTCATGAACGCGTTTCTCGGCTACACCCAAAACGGCACAGACCAGAAAGTAACAGTTGAGACAAAGAAACAAAGTCTGGGTGCGGTCAAAAAGAAACAGACGGTGTGTGTTCACCCGCGGAACTCCCAGGAGCCCGCCCATGAACTGCCGCAGCCGCGGCTCCAGCCAGGGCGAGGGCGTGGTCAACGCGAGGATCACCTCCACCAGGCCTGGCAGCGACCCGGGGTGCGAGGGGGCCTGCTGTGTGGAGCGGTGAGTGGCTGTTCAGCCGGGGGGCAGGGGGCAGAGGAAACCACAGGCATCCCAGAGCCCTGCTGGGTCCCTGCTGACCCGTCAGGGGCCGGGCGGTGTCTGCGGGACACGAGACCCCTGCAAAGGCCACGCTGGGGAACCATGCTGCCCAGGAGCCCTCACAGGGGACTGGGGGATCTCCGCCTCCCTCCTCCCATCCCCGTGGGCCCCACGCTGGCCACAGGGCCCCACCTCCATCCCCGACGAGAAGGACCAGTGACAGCGGGTGAGGCGGCACTGGTACCTGGATGAACGAAGCGCGCTCCCTCTCGCTGTTCTCAAAACAACGTCCGATTACATCAGCCGGCCAGAGTCCAGCAGCCCAGACTGACGTCTCTGGTCCTGAAAAGCTCAGCTCCACCAAGGACGCCCACAAGCCCGAAAGGAGAGCCGCCCACACCCTATCGTTGGGCAAGAACTTGTATCTGTACCACCTGGTAGCGCTGGTCAGCAGGGCAGACCGGGACCCCGCAGTCAACCCGGGCAGACAGGGCCCCTCGGGGCGGGGAGAGCTCGGAAGACCAGCTCCACCCCTGCAGGACCCCGCAGTCATCCCGGGCAGACAGGGCCCCTCGGGGCGGGGAGAGCTCAGAGGACCAGCTCCGCCCCTGCAGGACCCCGCAGTCATCCCGGGCAGACAGGGCCCCTCGGGGCAGGGACAGCTCGGAGGACCAGCTCCACCGCTGCAGGACCCCGCAACCACCCTGGGACGAGCGGGGAGAGCTCAGAGGACCAGCTCCACCCCTGCAGGACCCCGCAGCCACCCCAGGGACCGGAGAGGACCCCCCAACCCGGGGCAGGGAGAGCTCGGAGGACCAGCTCTGCCCCTGCAGGACCCCGCAGCCACCCCGGGGACGGGAGGGGGGCCCTTGGGGCAGGGAGAGCTCGGAGGACCAGCTCTGCCCCTGCAGGACCCCGCAGCCACCCCGGGGACGGGAAGGGGGCCCTCGGGGCGGGGAGAGCTCGGAGGACCAGCTCCACCGCTGCAGGACCCCGCAGCCACCCCGGGACGGGCAGGGAGAGCTCAGAGGACCAGCTCCGCCCCTGCAGGACCCCGCAGCCACCCTGGGGACGGGAGGGGACTCCCCCCCCCCCCCCCGGGGCAGGGAGAGCTCGGAGGACCAGCTCCACTGCTGCAGGACCCCGCAGCCACCCCGGGACGGGCGGGGAGAGCTCAGAGGACCAGCTCCGCCCCTGCAGGACCCCGCAGTCATCCCGGGCAGACAGGGCCCCTCGGGGCGGGGAGAGCTCAGAGGACCAGCTCTGCCCCTGCAGGACCCGCAGCCACCCCGGGGACGGGGCGGACCACGCAGTCATCCCGGGACGGGAGGGGAACCCCCGGGGCGGGGAGAGCTCGGAGGACCAGCTCCGCCCCTGCAGGACCCCGCAGTCATCCCGGGCAGACAGGGCCCCTCGGGGCGGGGAGAGCTCAGAGGACCAGCTCTGCCCCTGCAGGACCCGCAGCCACCCCGGGGACGGGGCGGACCACGCAGTCATCCCGGGACGGGAGGGGAACCCCCGGGGCGGGGAGAGCTCGGAGGACCAGCTCCGCCCCTGCAGGACCCGCAGCCACCCCGGGGACAGAGGGGGGCCCTCGGGGCGGGGAGAGCTCAGAGAACCAGCTCCACCCCTGCAGGACCCCGCAGTCATCCCAGGACGGGAGGGGACCCCCCGGGGCAGGGAGAGCTCGGAGGACCAGCTCCGCCCCTGCAGGACCCCGCAGCCACCCCGGGGACGGGAGGGGGCCCCTCGGGGCGGGGACAGCTCGGAGGACCAGCTCCACCCCTGCAGGACCCCACAGTCATCCCGGGACGGGAGGGGACCCCCGGGACGGGGAGAGCTCGGAGGACCAGCTCCGCCCCTGCAGGACCCCGCAGCCACCCCGGGGACGGGAGGGGACCCCTCGGGGCGGGGAGAGCTCAGAGAACCAGCTCCGCCCCTGCAGGACCCGCAGCCACCCCGGGGACGGGAGGGGACCCCTCGGGGCGGGGAGAGCTCAGAGAACCAGCTCCACCCCTGCAGGACCCCGCAGTCATCCCGGGACGGGAGGGGACCCCCGGGGCGGGGAGAGCTCGGAGGACCAGCTCCACCGCTGCAGGACCCGGCAGCCACCCCGGGACGGGCGGGGAGAGCTCAGAGGACCAGCTCCGCCCCTGCAGGACCCCGCAGCCACCCCGGGGACGGGAGGGGACCCCTCGGGGCGGGGAGAACTCAGAGAACCAGCTCCGCCCCTGCAGGACCCGCAGCCACCCCGGGGACGGAAGGGGGGCCCTGGGGCGGGGAGAGCTCGGAGGACCGCCTGCCCTCCGGGTGGGGACTGAAGCCCACCCAAAAGCTGCACCAGCAGGACGGCTTCCCTGCTCTCGTCTCTGCTTCCCTCCGTGAGCTCAGAGAAGGCACCGCACGCGCGCAGGGGCCTCGCATCTCCCGGAGCTTCCGGCGGTGCGCGCGGCCCCCATGGGGGAGCGCGGTCGGGCCGCTTCCCCTCTCTGCCCCTCCGCACCCCGCAGGCCCCACACGGGCATCCGGCGCGTAGTCGTCCGGCCGCGCGGGCTCGCGTGCCGGTAGAAGCCGCCGCTACACCTCGAGGACCAGCCAGGGGCAGCGGCTTGTAAGTCGCCCAAGCAAGAAGCGCGAGCACCGCAGACACGCACACGCACCCAGGGCGGCCCTGTCCACGTGAGGGCGCACGGCCCCGCTCCCGCGACGAGCCACCCCGCCGGCCAGGCCCCGGACGGCGCTCCGGGAACACCGGGGCTGCGAGGGGCACGACCCCGGTTCAACGACCGCGCCACGCGAGCCCCAGGCCGGGAGCCTCGGCCTCCGCCCCCCGGGAGGCCCCGCCACTCACCGTCCGAGAGGACCCGGCCCAAGGCGGCGGCCGCCAGCCCGGCCAGCGGGCGTCGCAGCATGAAGGGCGCCGCCGCCGCCGCCGCCGCCGCCGCCGCGGCCCGCGGGGCTACGTCACAGCGCCGCGCCCGCCCCGCCCGCGGAGGGTACGTCATGGAGCCGCGCCGGCCCGCCACCGTCGGAAGAGGTGCGCGTCATAGCACGGCGCCGGCCTCGCCCCGCCCCCCAGGCTGTCGTCAGTGCCGCGCGACGCAGCGCTCGCCGATGACGTCGCGGCGGTGCCCCTGGAGGACGGGGCGCTGGGTCGGCCGTGACCGTGTGCTCGGCGCCGGTCCCTTCCCGTCCCGTCTGGCCAGCGGCGGCCGGGACCCTGGCACTCGACGTTGCTCCGGAGCTCAAGCAGGAGGGCAGGTGGGTGCCGGAAGGCGCGGCGTCGCGGGGCGGGAAGGGCTCTCCCCGATGGGTGGGCCGGGCTCCGCCGCCAGCCGCCGGCCCTCGGGGCGACGGGATGGGGCGCATCGGCTTGCTTGTCTCCCAGCCTCTCGTTTTCCCGCCGGATCGCTTCTGGAGGCGGAGGGAGGCCTGCGGATCCCCTGCCCACGCAGACGGGGGCCCTGGCCGGGAGGGCTCTCTTCCTGGGCTCCGAATGTCCGACGTCTCGCGCAGGCGTTCGGCGTTCAGCGTCCCGGCTCGTCGCGGCGCAGACCTCAGCGCAGACGCCTTCCGGGTTCCCGGCGCTTAGTAGCGGTGGCCTTGAGTCTCGGCGGACACCGCTGTATGTTGTGGGAAGTAGGTGACCTTGGGAAGCCCCACCGTGTACGGTACACTGCGTCCTGGAGCGGCTTCCCGGACTCCGGAACCCGCTAGAAAGGGTCTGGCCCGGCTGCAGGCTTCCTGACGCAGAGGCTTGGGCGTCCGGCACTCGGAACCCTTCCGTAGACGACTCCAGCGCCACGTCGGGGCCGACAGCCTGACAGGGTGCCGGGAGGGAGTGGCGGAGACGCACTTGGGTCTGTGGCTTCTTCCTGCCTGGGGTTCGATGAAGGTCAGTTAGGTGGAAAACCCTGTCTTTTGAAAAGATGTCTTATTTCCTTGCCCAGCAGGTCGCACGCTAGGCCAGCAGCTGACCCCGAGGCTCCACGTGCCACAGGGGCCCTCAGGAGGAATGGCCACCATGGGCAGGCTGCTTGGGTAAGCAGGGGCTTCCCAGCCCCTGGGGACTGCTGTCATGGGCCATCTAAGGGGAGCTTTCCTAGCCGGTGTGTTTTTCTGGAGAACAGGTACAAGCAGGTGCGTGCAGATGGCTGGATGCTCTATGGCAGGTGTCGAGGGAGGAATGAGGTACGAGCAGGTGCGGATGGATGGATGAATGCTGTGGTAGGTGTCGAGGGAGGAAGGAGGTATGAGCAGGTGCGGTGGATGGATGGATGCTATGGCACGTGTCAGGGAGGGATGAGGAACGAGCAGGTGCGGATGGATGGATGAATGCTGTGGTAGGTGTCGAAGGAGGAAGGAGGTACGAGCAGGTGCGGTGGATGGATGGATGCTATGGCAGGTGTCAGGGAGGGATGAGGAACGAGCAGGTGCGGATGGATGGATGAATGCTGTGGCAGGTGTCGAGGGAGGAAGGAGGTACGAGCAGGTGCAGACGGATGGATGGGTGCTGTGGCAGCTGTCGAGGGAGGAATGAGGTACGAGCAGGTGCGGTGGATGGATGAATGCTGTGGCAGGTGTCGAGGGAGGAAGGTACAAGCAGGTGCGGATGGATGGATGGATGCTATGGCAGGTGTCAGGGAGGGATGAGGAACGAGCAGGTGCGGATGGATGGATGAATGCTGTGGCAGGTGTCGAGGGAGGAATGAGGTACGAGCAGGTGCGGTGGATGGATGGATGCTGTGGCAGGTGTCGAGGGAGGAAGGAGGTACGAGCAGGTGCAGACGGATGGATGGGTGCTGTGGCAGCTGTCGAGGGAGGAATGAGGTACGAGCAGGTGCGGTGGATGGATGGATGCTGTGGCAGGTGTCGAGGGAGGAATGGAAGCAGTTTGTGAGTACTTAGCACCAAACACGTGGTGGTGGTGACGTTCCTGTTCAGATCCTGCAGCCCAGCCTGGCTCTGGGTCCTTGGAGAAGGCCATGCCTTCCGGCTCTTCCCCCTGGAACTGCCCCCTTCCTGCCCTTCCCTCACCCCCTGGCCTCCTCGAGATGAGAAGTATGGTGTGATCGCAGCGTTGACAGAGAAGTAAGGAGAGCAGGCTTCTAGTGGGTTCTGTGGAATCTGGGGGAGAGGGATGGGGCACCTGAATCTGTGGGTCATTGTGAAACTAGGCAAGGGACTCTGGCTGCAACGTTCCCTGTAGGGCCCTTGTCCTAAGAAAGTTCATGTTAGAATTGCTGTTCTTGAGGGAGCATCCACTCTCAAGGGTCACTTCCAGTCCTAATCGGACAACCCACGGTTCTCAGGGGTGGCTGTGTCCTGAGCTCCCTGGCGCCGCTCCTCCCCTGCCCGCCTGACTGCAGGCTTCCCTGGCCGGAGTTTACCACCTGTCTCCTCTGTGCCATCTCCGAGACTCCAATGGCTGGGACTGGGGTCTTTTGTCAGAATTGCCTGAGGGTCCAGTTAAGGCTCTGGGACTTCCCAGCAAACAGGATGTGTTTTTGCCACTGGGGCAGTAGGGTCTAGTGGAGGAGACGCACCCTCACTCAGCCTGAGGGGCTGCTGGGAAGTACAGGGCGTGGTGGGAACGCCCCCCCGAGGCAGGTACTGCTGGGTTGGGGCTGTGCTTTTGCAGAGCACTCAGCCAGGCGGCCTTGTGGACGGAGAGGTCCTGAGAGCATGGGGACGCGGCTGGAGCCAAAGTGGGGACCAGGTGGGAGGCCACAGGGATGGTTTGGGCTGGACGCCGGTGCTCGCATAGTGGCAAGGCACGTGGGGGGTGCCTGAAAGAGCACCGGGCAAGCCCCACAGCTCGGGGAGGAATTCTGCCGTGTGACAGCCTGGGGTCTGAATCCAAGTTTGCATGAGAGCCGGGCTGGAAGGGACACTGGGGGTCACGCGGCCCGGGAGATGGCGCACACGGGGCTTCCTCTGTCCTCCCGTCACCTCAGCGCACACGCCCTGCTGTGTGCAGGAAGGCCAGGTGTCGGCCACGCTCAGAAACCAGGTGGACTGCAGGTGTCTTGGTCTGTTCACACTGCCCTAACAGAATGCCACAGGCCGGGCGGCCTCCTCTCCAGGGTTCTGGAGGCTGGAAGTCTGAGCTCAGGGTGCCGGCAGACTGGGGTTCTGCTGAGGCCTGTCTTCCTGGCTCTGAGTCTTCACAGTGGAGTTCTGCTCTCTGGCTCTTAGAAGGGCACCAGTCCCACCACGGGGGCCCTCATGACCTCACGTGATCCTCCTCATCTCCTACCGGCCCCATGCCTGGTGTCATCCCATGGAGGCTGGGCTTCGATGTGTGAATCTGGGGGAGACAGAGGTCCCGGCCCTAGGACTGGGTGTAGGTTCCCCTGGAAGTCTGTTCCGGGCCTGACGCTCGTGCGTCCGGCTCCTGAGCTGTGCAGCGACAGCGCCCTGAGCCCACTGGGGTCCCAGCTGCTGACTCTGCCTGCACTCGTCTGAAAGCCTCCTGCACTGGGCCCAGCAGTCTCCTGCATGCGGCAGGAGCTGGGGACCATGCCCCGCTCGGCGTGCATCACCACGTGCCCCCAGGGGGGCTGGGCGGCCTGGGCCAGCAGCAGCCACTGACTGGAGCGTGTGTCTGTCTGCAGCCTGCTGCGGCAGCATGTGCTGACGGGGTCTGCTCCGGCGCGCCGCGGCCTGCACACGTCCTCCCGGCAGGCTGACAGCAGCAGGGCCTGGCTCACGCGTGTGCACCGACAGGCCTATGCACGCCTCTACCCCGTGCTCCTGGTCAAGCAGGACGGCTCCACCGTCCACATCCGCTATCGGGAACCACGACGAGTGCTGGAGGTATGCCCCTCCCTGCGCTCCCTGGGGTACAGGTCTTGGCGGGCTGGCCCCTAGCAGCCGCTCCTCCCGGGGCTTACGGGCTCACTCGGCATCTGCGCGGCTCGAAGGGGGAGGGAGGGCGAGCCATGAACTGGAACTGCAGAATGAGGAGAGGGGAACGGAGGGTGCAGTCCCCTCCGCGGGGCAGGACCGGACAGCAGCTGTGTGTCGAATGAGCGTCAGTGCTGGGGAAACAAGCAGAAAAGTTTGCTTAAGGGTTGTGAGCTTTGACGGGAGACAAAACCTAGCAGAAGGTAAACACCCCCAACTGCGGAGAACGAGGTGAAGGGACACGGACAAGGCCCCGGGCCCTCTGAGCAAACGGTGGGCACGCTCCTCCCCGCAGATGCCCGTGGACCTGGACACCCTGTCCCCAGAGGAGAGGCGGACGCGGCTCCGGAAACGCGAGACCCAGCTCCAAAAGAAAAAGGAGGAGAAGCCGGAGCTCAGTGATGACTTTGACGAGGAGCGGTACAAGCGGTTTTGGACAAAAAAGTGACCTGCCTGGAAGCTGCCCTGGGTGGGGAGGGTGTGTCTTTAAATGGTGTGTTCACAAAGCCGTCTCCACGGGGCCTTTCCTTCTGGTGACCAGGCCAACCGGGTGGCCCGGAATTGGCTGGGGCCTGGTGTTGGCACAGGGCCTGAAGGGCACGCGAGCCACAGTGTGGGAGGAGGAAGGGCCCTGGAGCCCCCTCACTGCTGTCCTGCCTTCGGCCTCCGGGCGCTGGGGGCTCTGCTGGCCAAGCACGGCAGCCGCGGGACCGGGTGGGAGGGGCAGGGTGTCCGGGAAGCCGGGCCGGGCGTACCCCGCTCCTCACTGGGGCTCTCAGCGGGAGGCGCCATCACCCCATCGTTCCCCACGCTTGGCTTATGGCGCAAACCAGGCTTCGTAGGGTCAGCTGCCGTTTTTCTGCTCCGGGGGTGGGTTTCCCCCTGGCCAGGCTTCTGCAAGACCAAAGGGGCAAGTCCCAACCTTTGCAAGGGCCTGGGGCTGCCCGGTGTCCTGTCCTGGGCTGTTGATGGCGGGGCCCTGGCTGTCAGGCTGTCTCTCGGAAACCGGAGGGCCTGCACTACGGCGGTGACCGAGGAGAGAGGGAGGTGGCTGTGTCTCTCGCTCCCGGGGACGCATGCTGGGCTCTCAGGCCCCGCTGGTCCGCCGAGCACACCGGCACCAGCCCGCTGGGGGAGACGCACTTGCTGTTCAGAACCGAGTTAGTCCTGACGCTTGTGGTTTCCTCGAAGGGGGGTCACAGCCACAGATGCAGGGGTCTAGCAGCAGGGCGCAGATTGGGCACAGCACGGACACGGGTATTGACAGCCACAAGGCAGGGTGGGTGCTGGTGATACGAAATTCATCCACATAGTGGGGTTCTGGCAGAAGCCACGCAGTGGGGCTGCTGCTGAAAGCAGGCCTGGCAACCCCCCCCCCCCACCAAGCTCTGCATGGGAACCTGCAGCCCTACTGAGGGTGGGGGTCTGAGGGAGGGTTCTGGCCATAACTGGGTGATGCCGAGAGGGACCGGAGGCCCACGGCCTGTCTGCAGAGCTCCGGGAGTCTGGGCGGTCTGGTCTAGCGGAGAAGCCCATCTGCGCCCGGCCCTTCCAGGTCCCTGAGACTTCCTGTCCATGGACCCCAATCCCCGCTTCCACAAGACCTCTCCCCCACCCATTTGGGGGACTTCAGACGCTGTCTATGCTGATGCCTCCCGGTGTCCAGGCCCGTGGGGGGGGTGGGGGCTGATGGCAGGAGGGGCAGCAAGCTCCGAGCTGACCCTGCTTTGCCCACCATAGCCACCCCCCGTGGCGCCATGCCCACGCGCTCCTGCGGGAGGGGCGCGCCCGTGGCTGCCCCCTGCCCTCCCACGCTGGAGCCCCCCCGACCCAGGGACCACCCGCGCGCAAGCCGAGGCTCCAAGATGACAGAGGGCACGACGGGGCCCCGCCGGGAGCCTCCCCTCTCCCAGCACAGCCCTGGCACACGCGCAGCGCGACCTCGGGCCCCTGCCCCTGCACCCCGGCGTCACCCACACAACGTGGCTTCTAACGACAGGTGTCGTGCGGGCCGGAAGCTCAGGTCCCGCCTGAGCCTACTCCCACTCCTTCCCCCCCCCGGGCAGTGCGCAGGCGCGCCGACTGGGCGGGGCGGGGCCTAGGGGCGCGCGGCGGTTAGGGAGCAGTGCGCAGGCGCGCGAGGCTCTGCCGGGCCTGCGCGGGGGTGACGTCAAGGCGCGCGACGCAGGACCTGGTGCCGGCGCCGGCGCCGCCTGAGGCGGCGAGGCCAGGGCTTCCGAAGGCCCGCGGGGCGGTGGACGGCCTGGCACCATGTTCGGCTCCAGCCGGGGCGGCGTGCGCGGCGGGCAGGACCAGTTCAACTGGGAGGACGTGAAGACCGACAAACAGAGAGAGAACTACCTGGGTCAGCGCGGCGCCGGGCCCGCGCGTGGGGGGGTGGGGAACGAGGGCCGAGGGGGTCGCGGGTGCGGACGATGGGGACGGGGGAGCTGCGGGTGCCCGGAACGAGGGGACGCGGGAGCAGGGTACCCCAGGTGCGGGGAACGAGGGGACGCGGGAGTCGCAGATGCGGAGAACGGGGGCGCCGCGGGTGCGGGGAACGGGGGCGCGACAGCTGCGGGGCATGCGGCTGTGGGGAGCGGGGGCGCGGGAGGTCCGCGGGTGTGGGGGACGCGGGCGCGGGAGCTGCGGGGTATGCGGCTGTGGGGAGCGGGGGCGCGGGCGATCCGCGGGTCCGGGCGGACGCGGGAGTCGGCCGACCCCGCGGGCCGAGCGCCGGGCGCTGCACCCCCGCAGGCAACTCGCTGATGGCCCCCGTGGGCCGCTGGCAGAAGGGCCGCGACCTCACCTGGTACGCCAAGGGCCGGGCGGACGGCGCGGGCCTGAGCCGGGAAGAGGAGCTGGCGGCCGTGCGGCAGGCGGAGCAGGAGGCGCTCATGGCGGCGCTGTGAGTGCGCCCCGCGGGATCGGGGGCGCGCTGGGTGGGGGGCGCGGAGGGGACGGAGGGGCGGGGGCCCGGGCCAGGCCGGCCGCTCCCTGAAGCGCGCACGCGGCCCCCGCAGAGGCTACAAGAACGTGAGGAAGCAGCCCACCGGCCTGAGCAAGGAGGTGAGGGGGCCCTTACGGGGGGCGGCGGGGGCGAGGCGGGGGTGGAGCGGCTGCGAGCGCCCGCGTGCCCTCCGCACAGGACTTCGTGGAGGTGTGTAAGCGGGAAGGAGGGGACCACGAGGAGAAGGGAGTGGACCGGCTGCTGGGCCTGGGGAGCTCCAGGTGCGTGGCGACGGGGTGGGTGGTGCCCGCTACGCGCGTGGCAGCGGCACTCGGCAAGGGAGGTGGCCGGGGCGTTCTCATCTGGGGCTTCTCCTCCTCCTCCCCGCAGCGGCTCCGCAGGCCGAGTGGCCTTGTCCCGAGAAGACAAGGAGGCCGCCAAGCTGGGGCTGTCGGTGTTCACGGTAACTGCCCTTAGCACGCCCACGCCGGGCCCCCAGTGCGCTTTCCCGGCGTCCTGGCCCTTCCCGCGGGCGTCCTGGGGCGCGCCCAGCCTAGCCCAGTGTTCCTTCCCCCCACAGCACCATCGCGTGGAGAGCGGTCGGCCAGGCTCCTCCCCAGCCTCGGCCAGGAAGAAGCCTCGGTCGGAGGAGGAGAAGGCGGAGTCCGGGTAAGGGCTCTCTGGGCGCCCTGCCTCCCTGCCTGCCTGCCTGCTGGGGATCGCGCCCCCCCCGCCCCGCAGGCCTGGAAGGGGCCGGTGTCCCCGGCAGCTTCCGGCCGCAAGTGGAAGGAAGGCTGTACGTGCTGGCCACGGGCACGTGCGGTCAGTACATGGTGAGACCCTGTCCCGCAGCCCCGAGAGCCACAGGAAGAGCAGGAAAGAGAAGAAGAAGAAGAAGAAGAAAAAGCACAAGAAAGAGAAGAAGAAAGACAAGGCACACAGGAGCAGGGTGACCTCGCCGCTGCCCCCCGCTTCTGCGGGGTAGGTGTGCCCCTGCCGTGGGTGGCCTGGGGGGTGGGGCAGGGCAGCGTCCCACGGACGGGGTGTCCCCGGTCTCCCCAGATCCGGGCACCGCGGGCACGGCTCGGACTCGGACGGCGACTCCTGGCCCTGCTCCAAGAAGCGGCGCCCGCACCACAGTGACTGACACCGGCCCCCACGGCAGCTTCCGGAGGGGCGTCCGGGCGTCCCACCTGCAGGGCCTGCCCCGGGGGCGACGCACTGGCCTAGGAAGGCGCCGCACAGCCGCTTCTATTTTCTTTCGCTCTTTGTACTTAAATAAACTTATTTTAAGGGGCAAGTATTTCATACTCCAGGGAAGGTGGTGGCCACGTGTTCCAGCACAACCGGCCCGAGACCGTGTTGGGAGGGGGGCACAAACTTGTCCCTGTGGTGCCCCCCCCCCTCCGTGCCCCCCGGGGACCTGCCTGCCGAGTCCCTTCTGCTGCTCCCGGGTGGGGTGGGGTGGGGTAGGGTGGGGGGGGGGGCATGGCTCCTTCCACCAGGCCTCCCGCCGCCTCTGCAGGGACGTGTGCGCCGAGCCAGCACACTGACGTCTTCTCCCCAACTGCAGTGAGAACACAGCCCAGGCTGGATTGCTAATTACGAAGACGATCTGTCTTCCCGACTCTGACCCTGGTTCTCCACCTGTTAGTGGAGGTGAGCGAGGCCTCTGCTGGGCATGTCCAGCTGCCCAACAGCCATACGGGGCTGCGGAGCTGGCCTCCAAGGGGCAGGAAGGGGCCTGTCGCAGCAACACGGAGCCCGGCCAGGGGGTTCCTGCGGCTCGGGAGTAGGCCGGCTGGGTGCGTGCGTGTGCGCATGCGTGCACGGCGGCGGGTGCGTGCGGGGAGCCCTGCAGCTGGCCCTGCTGGGCCGGACCCGCACGGGGCACGGGGCCACAGCCGCACGGTCCAGGCCCCCAGCCAGGGGCCTTCCGTGCCCGGAGGTAAGCCATGGGTCGCTGGCACCCAAGCACTGGAAAGCCGGGAAATAGTTAAGAGATTTTATTCTAGTAGCTATAATTACAGTGCTTGTTTGTCGAAATGAAAACTGAAAACGAGTATACAAAACAGTTGATTACTAATCGTGTATTGAAAGCAGTAAGAGGTTCCACGACACCAAATAAACCAGTTCTGAGGATTTCCCCAAGATAAAGTCTAACAGCTCCAGCTTCTTCAGTGTTTATCAAAATACAAAAGAAAACAGTAGAGGTCGTCGTTTCGATGGCAAATCCGACCCTTGCAGGCTGAGGGAGTGAAAGCACATGTAGACAGGGGCTCCGGGGGCTGAGGCTCTAGGGTGACTGGCCCGCCCGCCCGCCCGCACTCCTGCTGGTGAGACCCCAGGCAGCCCGGAGCAAGCCAGATGCCACACGGACCCAAGGGAAGGCCGGGGTCCCTCTGAGGGGTCCGTGAGCGTCCGTGAGCTGTGGCCACAGCCCCCAGCCTGTCTCCTGGGCGGCTGTGTGAGCACAAGAACAAGCACAAACGCTAGGGGATGCGGGATGACCCGAGACAGCGAATCACAGGGACCCTATCGTGACCATGCAGAACGGACCATGGCTGGTTCTGCCCCGTCTCACGTTCCCGACGGGAAACGGACCACTGGTGGACTAGACTCTGGCCGCCGCTGCAGAACCGACAATAGGCACGTTTCTCCCTTCTGTGTGTTCACGTGTTCTCCTTATCTTGTATTTGTAACGATTTTAAAAATGCACTGAGTTCAGGTTAAAAACCAACCACCAAAATGGATCTCAACACAGATCTAAGGCCCAGAGGAGGCGCACCAGGCTGGTTGGACACAGCGACTCCCAGAGGCCCCGCGTGCCTAACATCCCTTCTCAGTATTGAACAGTGGGTTGATTCTCTTTTTACAATAAAAAAAGCTGAGTAATATTGCATAGGAGTACCAGAAACTGCCTCGTTGGGAACAAAAACTATTTACATTAAATAAAAACCCGGCTGCAGGCTGCGTCTGCACATTTACAGCATGGTGAAGCACACTGTGACCGACCATGGAGACAGCTTCTGGCACTCACACCACATGAGAGTAAAGCAGGGTGGAAAGAGGGAGTGGGGGGGGGAACACGGCTCACTTCTGGTTCCGGAGCTGATTGGACAGCCAGTCCAGTCCCTCATACAGCCCGTCCCCGCTGGTGGCACAGGTGGCCTGAATGTACCAGTTCCTGTGGCGCAGGGAGTGCAGACCCAGCTTGTCCGTGATCTCAGCCGCATTCATGGCGTTGGGGAGGTCCTGGTGGGACAGGCCCGGCGGCCTCAGGTCAGCACACTGCAAGGACCACCTGTGCCCACCTGTGGCCCCCGCACCCCCCGCCCGCCGCCCGCCAGCACAGGGCGGCTGGGTCCCGCGTGCACGTGTACCTGCTTGTTGGCGAACACCAGCAGGACGGCATCCCTGAGCTCGTCCTCCGCCAGCATCCTCATGAGCTCCTCACGGGCCTCGTTCACGCGCTCTCTGTCGTTGCTGTCCACCACGAAGATGAGACCTGCAGAGCCGCGGGCGTTAGGACAGGTGTCGAGGGCTCCCCGACCTCTGCCATGGGCCACCGCCCCTCTGCTCACCTTGTGTGTTCTGGAAGTAGTGACGCCACAGAGGTCGGATCTTGTCCTGGCCGCCTACGTCCCACACAGTGAAGCTGATGTTCTTGTACTCCACGGTCTCCACGTTGAAGCCTGTGGCAGCACCACCCAGGTGAGCCTTGCCCAGAGCCCCCTCCGACCCCCGGCCCACCCCTGCAGCCCACGCTCCTCACCTATGGTGGGAATGGTGGTCACGATCTCACCCAGCTTCAGTTTGTACAGGATGGTGGTCTTCCCCGCAGCATCCAGGCCCACCATGAGAATGCGCATTTCTTTTTTGCCAAAAAGGCCCTTGAAGAGGTTTGCGAAGATATTTCCCATGCTGTAGACGGGTGGGAGCAACACTGGCCAGAGAAACCTGTAGAGACAGCAGTCCCCAAGTCTCTGCCTGGGCTGCCAGGGCCAGCAGCCCAGAAGCAGCTTGGGGCCCTCCCTCCAGCTCTGGTGGATGGACAGGCCTGACTCCTGAAAGCTCACAGGGCAGAAGTGGATGAACCCTGGTTCCCACGCGGCAGAAACGGAGTCCTGCCCTTAGAAGGAGCGTCTGGGAATCTCAGGACAGGGGTGACTGGAGTTGGGGGCTGCGGTCGCCTAAGGAAGTGATGCCCACGTCTGCTCGACCTGCCCTGGCTATGATGTACGACACGTGACCGGTGCAGACGGAATGCTGAGCACCCGACGGCCATGGCTTTGCCTGAATGCAAGGTCTGTAGAAACACCCATCCCACCAGTGACACAGGCCAGACCGACCTTCACCGATGTGCTGAGAGCTCAGCACTCACCCACAGGCAGGACTTGGAGCCAGACCTCACCTGGGCGCTTGGGCAGCACACCAGCCATGAAGTCCGAGGGGGAGCCCGTGAGGCGGGCACTTCCACCCCAGCGAGGAGGCAAGCCCCTAGGCCGCACAGGGTCCCCTCGTTCACAGCAGACACCAGGGCCCAAGTCGGGGGGGGGGGGGGGGGCAGAAAGACGCCGGTGGCCATGGCCACAGGGGGAGCAGTGTACCATCCACAGTTCCCCACCCCCCACCCCCCAGGGCACAGGAGTACTTTCATTCTTCAACAGTTTCCTTTCCAAACAGGGACTTGGGAGAAACGGTCCCTTTCTCAAATGCAGACCACCCAGGAATCTGGGTTTTTAGCACCGAGCAAAAGCCAAGCAGCAGGGTGTGGGGCAGCCTTCAGACCAAGAGGCTGGTCTGTGTCCCCAGCAGTGTGTTCCAGGCAGCCACAGACCGAGCGCTCCTGAGCCCAGGAGGGAGCCCCGCTGCCCGCACACCCGTCCCCCAGCAGCGGTCAGGAGCTCCCTAGGCTTTGGAGCATGGACGAGACGCGGGCCCGCCCCACTTCACCTCTGAGGACAGGCTCCGGTGGTGTCCCCAGCTCTCCACTGCTTTGGCTCTCACTACCGTGAGCACACACACACTCCCACTCCCTCTGGTTTCAGCAGCCAACACACCCTGGCCGGGTCACTGTCTGCCTAGTCATTCTGACAGCGGTCAGTCAGCACTGTCCCCAGGCACCCACAAGGCGTGGCACTCCTGTTTTACTTGGTGGCTTTGATGCTCCAGCGCCCAGGCATGCCCAGGCGAGGCCTTCATACTGGCTTCAGGGCACTTGTTTCGGGATGTCGTTAAAGATCTTAAGTCATCTCTACGCCCAACATGGGGCCCGAACTTACAACCCTGAGATCAAGAGTCGCACGCTCCACAGAATGAGCCAGCTGGGCGCCCTGCTTCAGTGCATCTTTGACACGTTTTTATTCTTTTGGTTCTGAGCAATATTACCTATTCAAAAAATTAAAATGTAAAATAATCTTTACTGTAACATTTCCTTTTTGTACAGACAGCCAATTTTCCTCATACATACAGAGGAGGAAGAATTCTCTGGGGAACACACACTTTCAATGTCAGTTCTGCCGAGTCACTAAGGAAGAGATGCCCGACCCACAAAGACAAAAAGAAAAGAGGGGCGATGAGCTCTGGAAGCCAACGCAAGTGTGGGTGGAGTCGGACCTCATGTTCTTCCTCAGCTCTGCAGGGAAGGGACCTTTCTAGAGCAAGCGAACTGGGGCTTGCCACCCGCATCTACGTGGGACGGTGTGGCTGCTGGTATCTGGAGGACCCAGAACATCTGTGCCCTAGCTCCCTTTAAAAAGTCACCAACAGGGGTGCCTGGGTGGCTCAGTCGTTGGGCGTCTGCCTTTGGTTCGGGTTGTGGTCCCGGGGTCCTGGGATCGAGCCCCGCGTCGGGCTCCCTGCTTGGCGGGAAGCCTGCTTCTCCTGCTCCCACTCCCTCTGCTGGTGTTCCCTCTCTCACTGTGTCTCTGTCAAAATGGATAAAATCTTAAAAAAAAAAAAAAAAAAGTCACCAACACGGAGGAAGCAACACAGAAAACTATTTAAAAGGAAAAAACAACCCCCCCAAGCTACACACAGCCCCAGGCAGCAAGGTGGGGATCTGGTGCCCACAAAACAAGGACAGGCTCATGGATGACCTGACAACCAGAATAAAACACACACACACACACACACACACACACTGGATAAAAAAGGAAGATTAGGAGCAATTTCAAAGGTCCACATCTATCTTGGGTATGATGATGTCTTTTTAGATACAACACCAAGAGGCATAACCCATAGAAGAAACAACTGATACGCTGGACTTCATTAAAGCTACAAACTTCCACTCTGGGCAAGACCATGTCAAGAGAATGAGAAGATAAACCAGACTGCAGCAGCATCCGACTCTTGGTTTCAGCTCAGGTCTTGGATCTCAGAGTTACGGGATTGAGCTCGGAGCTGGGCATCTAGGCATGGAGCCTGTGAAGATAATCTTTCTCCCTCCCTCTCTGCCCCTCCCACTCTAAAAAAAAAGAAAGAAAAAAGAACTGTAAAACGGGCCAAAGACCAGACACCTCCCTGAGGAAGATCTACAGATGGCAAATGAGCACATGAGAAGATCTCAGAGAAATACAAATCACACGAGCTGCTCACTATGCACCTATCAGAAAAGCAAAAACCCACAACACTGACGACACCACCAGCTGGTGAGGATGTGGGGCAACAGGAACTCTCATACCCAGCTGGTGGGACCACAGGACAGGACAGCCGCGCTGGACACAGCCCGGCGGCTTCTTACAGAACAAAACCCTCTCTCACACTACACAGGAGCCGAAGCTACGTCTGCACCAAAGCCTGTTTACCCACAGGTCGGAAGCCCCCAAGCTGTCCTTCAGAAGGAGAGAGCCTACATAGACTGTGGTCGCCCAGACGACGAACAGGGGTCAGCGCTGGACAGAAGCGAGCTCCCACCACGAGAAGACGCGGCGGAAGCCGTATTACTGGGCGAAGGGAGCCCATCCGAGCAGGCTACTCGCCGTGTGACTCCAAGTGGACGGCGGCGTTCTGGAGAAGGCGGGGCTGTGGAGACGAGACAGAGCCCCTCGGTGGGCGCTGGGGGACTCGGGGGGCCCAGCGGAGCTCCGGGGCCGTGAAACCATCACTCTGTGTGACCCTGTGGGCACGGACACGCGTCCTTCCACACCCGTCCGAGCCCACAGCACGCACACCATGGAGAGTGAACCCCCTCGGAAAGGAGGGGCTCCGCTGATACAGCGTCCGTGCGGGTCCATCAGCTGGGGGGGATGCTGCCCTGAGGGCGGCTACGTGCCTATAGGAGCTCCCGTTCCTTCCCCTCGATTCTGCGGAGCCAGAAACCGCTCCAAAGTCTTTGGGGTGGGGAGGATAGAAATTCTTGAACATAATTAAAATCTGACGGACAGAAAACTCCAAAAAAAAACAAAGAACACAGAAAATTATGGGACAGAATTTCTTCATTGCTCCAGCTCAGAACAGAAACCTCCAGACTGAGGTAACCTGGGTTACAAACACCGAAACAGATGCACTCTGAGGACACCAAGGGTCAGAGTGCTTTTTGGAAGTGACACACCGTGCTTTCCACCTGTAATTCTATACCCAGCCAAGGCAGAGATTCAGGGGGAGGGGGCAGAACAAAGAAGGTCAGAAATGCAAGCCTTCCTTGCAAGGTGGCCACAGGTAAGGGAGGACAGCCCCCGCCCCCAGAAGGAAGGAGACACAGAGACAGACTTCTCAAGAAGGTGAACATGCTACGTGCATGGCTAAAACCTGGGGCTCAGCAGTCCTAGGGCACTCGGGAAAAACGGAGGACAGTTACAAACAAATGGAGAGAGCACTTTAATGTTTCCTGTGGGAAACACCAGCCAGGACCACCGGGCTCAATCATGGTACCCCTGCTGTTACTGCTGGGAATCCAGAAGCTGAGGCCACACCCGCAGGGTCAGGGGCCGACCCTCACGGCCCAGAGCATACAGACCGAGGAACGCTACCAGCACACTCATTTACAAATACAGCTCTCACGGCGGAGGCAGGAGGGGGGACCGCGACTTCTACTTGTTTTAGCGTTAACGTATCTTGTTCTCACAAATCGACACTGAATCCTAGGGACTAAGGGGTGAAAGTGTCCTCTGTACTCTCCCAAGCCATCATGTGGGCAGAGTAAGCCTGCCCAGTGGCCTCCTCCTCCCAATGTGCCCTTGCCAGCCCCCCAAAACCCCGCTTGTCCACACAATGTCTCTGGTCTGCTGGGCTGGGCCTTCAGGACCAATATGGTTGGTCCCTGTCCTTCCCACGTGCATTCTCAACAGATCAAAATCCTAGAGCCCCATGGGGGCTGGGGATGGAGTCTTGGGTTTAAGACGCTACCCCACATAGCAGTTGCTCTCTCCAACTACTCCAGAAGCACCTATACCTGCCATGCACCTGGTCCAGCACCATTTACTGTTTTGTAAGAGGTCAAGACCTAACACAGCCCCTGCCACAGGAAAAAGGTCAACATCGATGGCCAGAGCCATCCTGTGGCCTCTCGGCACAGGTCCCAAAGTGCAGGACACACTGTCATGCCTTCTGCCACCAGAATCCCTGGAGCTCAAGTCAAAACCTGTCTTTCAGGTTTACGGTGATGGCCCTCTGCATTGGTGAGCAATGGAAACATGGGACTTTTTCACAAGAGCTCCCTCCTGCCTGGGAGTCAGCACCAGCCCCACAGCTCTGTGGGAAGGGCCAGTGACAACGTAACCAAAGAATGGGGCGACCTATGTTCTTGGGATGCAAAGGTCTATTTGGCCACAGGCCGGGGCCAACAATGGGGCCTCCCTGGGGAAGCCAGTCCAGCGAGATAAAAAGGTAGCTTTGTGAGTTTACACCCTTCCACTCCCCTAAATGAATACCACGAGACCAGTTTAGCTGCTGAGGGCAAGTGGTGCTGTGGCCTCTACCTGCACCCTCGGCGCCTCCTCCTACAGGCCTGTGAGGTT